ACTTAAGTTGCGCAAACCGCAGGTGCGGCTCAGGTCGAGACAGGAATTCTTTACTTGCAGAGTGGTGAACGCGTGGAATGCGTTAGATGACGAAGTAGTGGCTGCCCCGCGCTGTGACTATCTTTAAGAAGAAACTAGATGCTTTCATGGACAGGCAAAAAGGTGGGGGGCAATGTTGACGTAGGTACTAGACAGTAAGCAACTAGGATAGTAAAAAAAAAATACAATAATATTTAGCTTTAAGAGGGTTAGGCCTACCGTTTAAAAATTAAGGGACGCTCGACCTCGACACGTGATATCGAAATGGGCGAAATCGCCTCTTGATATCACTAACTCTCTTGACTCTTGGATATTTGCAACTGTGGTGGAAATATAGATTTCATGTTTAATTTCTTGCTTCCGTTTCTCCTGCAGCGGACAATGGAATCCTTGAGCACACATGCACTCTGCTCCGGATGGCAAGTGACAGGAAAAAAAAAAAAATTCAGTTGACAAAGCCCCGCGTGCCACATGCGGCCCCGCGGGTAGCAGGTTGCTCATCACTGCTCTAGACGAAACTTCGTAGGTTGGCGCAAAATTAGTTCTCTTTCGAGCGCAAAAATCGATATCTTTCATTTCGAACAGTCCATGATGAATATCAATATTTAACTAGCGTAGCTGTTTATTGGTCGCATCGTTTACACAGGACGATGGTGGAGTCGCCAGATGGGCGCATGGCGCTCGAGCATGAAAAATATGCACAGCAATGCATTGGACCATGGGGGTTAGAACCACAACGTCCAGGAAGAACTTGACATGAAAGAAACACAAGGGGGACGCTGCTGACGAAAATCGCATACATGCGCTTCGGCGTATATAATCCTGCCGTGGCTGATCATTTCTCGAATAATTTGTAAAGATGCCGAAGCATAAGCAGGAAACAGCACTCGTGCAATGTTACAAATCGATTGAATTCAACGAAGGGATGAAAGCAGCTCCCTTTTATATGTCCATCAAATAGCTGCTCCTGCTGAGCGACGGCAAATCAGCATCGCCCCTTATAGGACTTTTTTTGCATAACGTTGTCCCTTGATGCCTTGATATTTCCAAGTTCCCCCAAGTTTCATCGAGCTGCGATGCAGAGTTTTCATGCTGGAGAGCCGAACACGCGTCAAGGGACTTTAGTCACCTAAATATATAAACATTACTTTTATTTTATTTGAAATATGTATAAGGTATGGCAAAAAGGACCAACGACTTTAAACCTGCATCCTTTTAACCTGTTTCCATTGGATATATTTTCACAAAACTTACGCTGTACATATATTGATATGTTCTCAACAGGCTTTTGAAATTTAATTTAAATTGATGCAAAGCGAGACGATGAACAATTATTGAAAATAAATCGAATATTGAAAATGGACAGGGGATTGCCAATCCCCTCTTAGTGCTTCCCCCCTTGTATCTTTCTCTTATACAGTATAAAGCAGTAAACTGTGTGAAAACTGTTACTTGATTCATTGATCACGAACTTGATACTTCTTGATTCATCAGTCATTAGTCTGAATAAAAATTATGAAAAGGAAAAGCCAGATTTAAAAAATAATAATCTGAATGGAAGAATGGATGCCGTACAAGCAGTGTACTTGGGTGCGTCCTCCACTCCCCAGCTCTTGTCCTATTTTCAGCATCCAACTTTCTTTTGATCGTTGCTCATAGCCTTGGAGCAATGAATTTTGGATGCATATCTATCTATGCACAGAGAGAGTTCCGTGAAAAGAGCTTCGGTGAAAGCAGAGATTAGGATGGATTTTTGAACAGAACACTATCCGATAATGCAGCTTTATTCCAGGGAAAATACATATTTCCTAGAAATAAAGCAGCATTATTGGATAGTTCTCTGTTCAAAAATCCACCCTTATTGGTTAAAAATCGTTGGTCTTTACTCCTATAAATCTTTTTTTATGCAATGCGAAATTTCAGAGGTCACTGAAAAGTTGTCATTCCAACCGAGCAGTTTGAAATAGTGAGCAGAGGCGACCACCCATGCGTGAAGGACCCCACTTATTCTCGATCGGCATGTCAGCTGGCTTGTTACGAGAAGGATCTTCTCAACAGAACCAACTGCAGGTGAGGAATACGACATTTCTCGACGCTTCTCGGTTTCTCGCAAGGGATCTATGATAGGATCATACAACGTATGATCCTACCATAGTTCACCCTTTCTTTTTTTCCGACGATGAAAAAGAAGGAACTGGTTTGATTGACTGGATTGATGTGAAAATTAGCAAATGAGCCTGATTGCGGATGGCTTTTTCCTGCTAACCTGAGCGGATGACATTCCTCGAAATCCCCACCGCGACACCATTGCCATGGCACAATGGCCCCGCTCTGAAGATCTCAGGCTGCATTTATCGGCGCTCGCAGAATCTCAGAACATGCTTGCGTACTCGCCAGCACAGAGGCAAGGAAAGAGGAATGAGTGTTTTACGTCCATCGGCTGGATGCATATTGGAGTCACAGAGGCTTCGGACAAGGAGAAGGCTCAAACACGTCTAGGCTAAATTAAACCTTTTGCTACTTATTTATCTTCAGCCCCCCCCCCCCCCGCCATTTAGATTATATCACATAATGATGACACTCTCAAAAGAGGCTCGACATGGCTCCGTCCATCTTTCTCTCTCATGCTGTTTGGAGTTAATTATTGCACATAGGCGAAATTAAACCTTTTTCTATTTTTTTTTTTTCCCCCCCCCCCCCCCCCCCCACTAAATAATTTCAATTACATGCAATTGAAGTATACAATCGAGTGACTGAGCGGACGAAAGCCTGTACTCGAATGATCAAGGGATTGAATTCGAATGTCGTAGCAAGCGGACGAAAAAAAATTAGCGGATGTGGACATTAGTCGAACGTAGAATAAATGCATTTCTCAGTCCATAAATTGTACAGAGATTTTCGGAACGCAAGAACGTACTTTTACAGGGGCAGCAACGGCTAATGCTTTGCCCAGGCCCCTGGTATATGGCTAGTCGATGATATTCAGAGCCAACGCATCTCTCAGAAAGCTACTTCCACATGTCAATGATTCTTCAACGGAGAATCAACGGAGCCCCGGGATGATTTATACTCTCGGAATAAAGCGGTAGTGGACGTGTGGCCATTGCTCGGTGAAATTTCTGCTTCAATCTGAAATAACATTGTAATTGGAATGGGAAGCAGCTTTCTTATGCTTGTAGAAAATAAAGCTATAACCTGTTCCTTTCCGCCGAGACGAGTCTGCCGTCTCGATGAAAGCAACATGGTGCAGTATATATGAGGCCCTCGATCGTTTTCTCTTCTGAATACACGGAGCTGATGATATCGACACATCCTTGTATGCATCGTAAGTGCAATAATTAACTCCAAACAGCATGAGAGAGAAAGATGGACGGAGCCATGTCGAGCCTCTTTTGAGAGTGTCATCATTATGTGATATAATCTAAATGGCGGGGGAGGGGGGGAGGAGGAGAAGGGAAGAAAGAAGGAAAGGAAGAGAGACGGTAATGTGCAGCGTCTATGGAAAAAAGTTTGACTTTAAAAATAAAATTCCTTCCTCCGATATTGTGAGAGCTTCATGCACATGGCATCTCAGTAGAACATAAAAGATTGCTTCCAAGTTAAAAAAAAAAATTCATCCATTGCTTAAAATGGATTGACTCTTCAAAGTTGGAAGCATAAAAAATTGCAGTGAACGTGAAATCCCTGTTGCTGGTTCGTCGCCTTCGCGCGCTCCCCAGTCAAAAATTTTCGTTGGTTTATCGTCGGGCCATAGATGGGGAAGTTGTGTCATTTTCGGCGAATGATTGGCCGGCCAACTCACACTTGTGGGTTGGCCGGCCAATCATTCGTCGAGGATGAGCCGATGTGGAGAAGATATTGAAAAGTCCATTACGTGTAAGGCGTACCAGAGGGGAGGCCAGATACCCTTGCATTCCCAAGCGATTCCGGTCCTGGATGCCTGAGCATCAGGAAGGGATGTTGCTTGGGATTTTCTCAGCTCTTGGGGATAGGAGCGTACCTATGTAAGGTACTCTGGTAAGGTACTGCTCCTTCATCTCTCTCAGTTGAAGGAGCAGTAGGGGGTCAAATGATGCATAATGCTGCAGATGCAGTCAATGTGGATTTTTTTCCCTATATCTTTTCACCATTGTAAAAAGTGGGCTGATGGTTGGGGCATGTGCGGTTTCCCAATAATGAGCCAAAGTTGGCCCGATGAAGGGCCCACAGTACATGCCCGACCATAAGCCGGCTTAAACCAACCATATGCCAGTGACGGCCCAACTAAGGCTTCCATACGCGTCGACGAAAAGCCATCAATGGCCCAATGAAAAGCTTTTGACTGGGCCCAATCCGGCTGTGCGGCGGCAGCCTCAAGAAAATAAGTTTATTCTCGTTATTAACTATGAGTGTTTTGCGCTTTTTTTAAACTTACATTAAGGGGTGCGAGTCTATTTGACCACTTGCTCGTCCTCTTAAATTATTCATATGCAATTCTTAATTCGAAAAATAATTATACACGACACAAAAAAACTGCAATATTGGGGAGTTTGGTTAGAGACTTGCAGAAAACCATAAACATCAATTGCTAAAAGCGCAACCGGAACACAAGCAACGGTAAGGCACGGTAAGAGGTATTTAAAAAAAATAAGGTTCTTCACCGAGACTGTCGCCAAAGATTGAAGCTCGTCAAACTAGCGCACCTGACGAGAAGCAGCGCCCGAATTGAGATTTTTCATACTTTCACTTTGAAAAAATGGAAATCCCATACCACAGAATGCTCGTTAAGGAGAAAAAAAAAGGGTTCATGACGGAAAGGATTCTGTATTCCCCCCAATCTCGAATGGTGAATTCGTCCATTCGTCTCGCTCTGATACGCAATTTTATCGGTTAACCTTTACCCATCAGTGGGTCCCTTCAATGAATATCGTTTTAGCGAAATACGAACTTCCAAGTAGTAGGGTCGATGGATATATTAACAGCTAGGCGTTGTGACCCCCGAGAACTTCCTAGCTTCGGTATTGAATTCAGAGATTGGAAGTTCATACAAGGGGAAACTCGTCAGCCTCGATTCTCTCCTTGATGAGTATGCCCGTTTGAACGAGGTCTCATAGGCCTCAAATGAGGCCCCCCCCCCCCCTTTCCCCATACGCTTTGGGAAGCGAAGAACCTTGTTTTAATCCAACCTTTCTTGGAATTCTTCCTCTCCCGCTCGTCGTAGGTTCCCTGTTCCATGCAAACGAGGAATAGTTCCTATTCACTACTACGTACTTTGTTTCGAGTAACGACGAATTCACTAGCCCTACAAAGCTGACAGCGAGTGTCAAGCAAGATTTTCATTTAGAAAACCTTTTTCGCCCTAGATCTTAACTGACTTTCACCATTTCCTGGAAGCAACGTCTTAGATTATGCGACAAATTGCTTCTGATCACTTTCCGGGCATTTCTCTTCCTGTGATCATGTCCGAGACTTGACTGAGAGATTTTTTTTGACGTTCGACCAAATCACATCGCAATTAAAATGAACCACGATAACTTTCTTAGCGACGTCACTGCGAGAAAATTTTCAGGTTTAGATCTATGTGGAGACCTTTGAATATGCCAGATCCTAACCCTAGGCCTGTTCACATACGATTTGATTCAACTGAAATACATTTTTGGCGCTTTGTCTAGGATTGAAGCTCACCTCACGATTTCAAAGAATCTTCAGGTGCCCATTCTTCACGAATGGCTTTCCCAGGCCGCACTTTCCGTCTTGCAAAGCAGCCCGAAACCGTTTTTTGAGGAGTCATTGAATCTAAATCCACAGCAACGAACCATTTCAGACGAGACAACTCAGCGATTCAGCCGACAGAAACGCACACTAAAGAACTAAATAGGAAAGAGCCGCCTTGTCGTCGCCATATTGCCGGCAGCCATGTGTCACGTGATCGGCTTCGTCCAATCAGCAGAGCTTAGAGGCTGCAAGGTACTTTTCAACGGCAAAGGTAAAGTATACCGATTGTTCAGAATTCGGAAGGCACAGGGAAATTACACTGTAAAATAACGAATGCATAGACATCAAATTATTTCATTATTTATTGTATTTATAACTATTTGTGGCTTAGAAAGCTGTTGAAATTAATTGTTGTTTATTCTAGTGGTTGAGTCCATGACCTCATGAACATCTTTGAAATTACTTCAAAAGAAATGTCGCTCTTAGAAGGAAAACGAGAGCTGAGATACTTTCTCAGCTCTCTCGTTTTCAAGGAACAAGGGTGCGAGATTTCAGAACTTCAAAAATCTATGAGCGATACAACGATGGCGAAGACCTCAGAACTGATTCAGAGAATAAGTAGTGGTCAGAAGTTCGCTACATAATTCAAAATGGTGCAAAAATTTGCAAAAAATGCGGAATTGATATTCCTGGGTGCAAAGAACTCATTACGGCAAAGCGCGCTCCTATGATTACACCATCAGCGGAACGTTTCAAGGTAAGTTGGCAATGTCGCTGACAAGCCAAGTTCGTACGCCGGCACACGAAAATTGAAAATTGACTTTGGGAATTTACATGATCAATTCAGCATCATTTAGTTTCATGCATCCGTACGAAACTCGGTGCCACTTGGAGTCGAAGGGTGATAATGGAGTGAATTTTGGAAAATGATGGAAGTGGCGAACAACGATTAGACGATTCTCGTGCATTTTTTTTTACTGGGCAATGAGCAAGAATGATCTAGATTCCAAAAGTAATCATTATTTCGTGTGGCGACTTCCTTATGTACTCGGAAATCCGAAACTCAGTGTGTCACTGCAAAGCGTCAAGCAGCAAGGTTGAAAGAGTCGCTTCGAAAAGCTGCGTCTTTCCATACGACAATCGGTGAGATACTCCTATTCCATCGTCTCCACAGAAATCTATTTCATGGGGACTACGTAGCATTGCATACAGACTACTCCAGAAATCTCCTTATTCTGGTTCTTCTTGGAGCAGGGGTGTCAAACTCGATTAAGCTGGGGACCGGATGAAGCACTTCAGGGGTGGTTGGGGGCCACGCTAACAAATCGTTCGCAAAATTTTTAATGCAAACTGGTTGAAATCTCGACGCTTTTCCAAAACCAACAAGTGGGGTTCGCGGGCCGGATGAAATGAACTAAAGGGCCCGATCCGGCCCGCGGGTCGCCAGTTTGATACCCCTGTCTTAGAGTATCCCTCAAGGTGCTACTAAAGGGGAAAAAAAACCACAGCACTTTCGGATACCTAATGAAAAATCAAGAGTGACGTGTTTTGAGACAACCTGTAAATTACTGCCTGTCTGGAATTTGCCAAAATCAAGCACGGTTTCGCTCTTGATCCCACCCGTTCAAAGAATCGCAAAATTTAAATCTCGAATTCAGATTTAAAAAAAAGGACAATTTCTCTGCATAGAATGCTTCTTTTGTACAACCCCGACCTAGCCTGCCGTTCATGAACACCTCGGCTAAGGCGTGCAAAGGCGGGGAAGAGTTCATGCGTGCCTCGAACCTGAGCATCCGGATGCTGGACGGGAGAGACCGTAATATTCCGACCTGGAACCCTGACAAATGTGGATGCCACATGCCGTGCAAGCAGAGTCTGTATGAATTCTCTCCCGATTCTCGGAGTCGACAGGACAATCACTCCGTCACTCGGGTAAGACACGAACATTATCTTGGTTTTGGATTAATGCCTGACAAGTGAGGCCCGGCTTTTTCTGCTTTATTGCAGGTCTTTTATCTGGACATGACCTACGAGGAGATCAAAGAGGAACCCAGTTATGACATCATCTCCCTCCTATGCGATCTCGGAGGGACTCTTGGATTGCTCTTAGGAGCTTCAGGTAAACAATGATAGAAAGTCTAGAAACAGCTTTCAATTTTTTTTACCCACAACATGAATCCATAACATGAGTTAAACAATAAAAAGGATCTTTTGCAGTGTTGACCATGGTACAGATCCTGGAATGGAGCATCAGCACGGCAACCGCTTGGGTCCTGAGCTCTCGATCGGCACCCCCGACCATACGTCCGAAAGTTTAGCAGCTTGAGGACGAGGAGGAGGCTTGTCAATGATTGTCCATGAATTGAATTTCACTGAGGAGAACGATGGTTTGAGGTAAAGGTCGGGGTTGTGGTGATAGAAGGGTCAATGTCTGCCTCTCGGTGTCCACATTCGTCCTGCAATATCACATTATGTGAACCTTTGTCATCATGATCTTTTACAGCACAAAGATTTTGACATTTCCATGCATCTAGCTTCAACCTGTACAGCTGTTTTCCAAAGATAACTTGGCTTTCTTTTTTTCTTTGTTAATTGAAACATTTAGCAAGCCAGATAACATAAGGACAATAAATGCTAGCTTTTCCAGCATGAAATATATTACAGTAAAATTCCCCCCCCCCCTAAAGGCTGATGATACTGTTGATAATAATGGCTATGAAAAGAGAACTGAGCACTTACACACAGACAAAGCCAGCCACATTGGTACAGACCACATCTTCCTCAGTGCTAGCCGCAAAACTGACAGCAAGAAGATGATGTAATAAACTGGGACCTGCACAATAAATACAATGCAATTAAAAGACATGCCAATGAAAGAACGTGCATTTTTCTCTGAAATCCAAATAAGCTCACCAAGAACTACAGGGACAAGCTTGGTCAAGTTATCCTCCTGTCTCATGCCAAGTGGCATGCACGAATCTGGGAGGGTGGGAGCTCCAATCTTCATCACTCGAATCTCTGAGAACTTGACCTCAAATGAATGGGGATACAACTGGTTTCGAGCACCATAGAAGTACTCTCGAACTCTGAGATCACGGGATTCCTGACGGAGAGCCTTGCTTCGTTCCACCACTCCTCCACTCTTGGGTTGGAAAACAACCTTGACAAAGGATGGCATGTCCCGAACCAATTCGTTGTAGAGACGCTCAGAGTCCAACACAATGATGGCATCCACTTCGAAGGCCAAAGCAATGTGAGTCAAGATCTTGTAACCATCCCCTTTCACCCACCCACAAGTGTTGATGATCACACCAGATGCTTTTGCTGGAATGACAAAGGATCCCCCATTCAATGACAACTACATGTGAAATCCTCACTGCAACTCAAAATCTACATAAAATGAGATTTGGTACCTTTCCTGTTTGCATCCAGTCTTTCTTGGACGACCTCAGCCAGTCGGGACACGATCATGTTGTAGAGAGTGCAATTCATACCTGCATGTGAGCTCCCATAGTGGTATACAAGAGGGGCTTTTTGATTGAATCCATCTTCTACTGAGGCAGGTCTTTCAACTAACATGGCCCCTAGTGAACAAGTAAAATCCATTGACAATCAAATGACATTGATTGCTTCATTGGAAAAGAAACCACCTAGCTGCATGACTGAAACCACTCATACCAATGGTGCCTGGGATGGAGATTTGCCCCTGTCCAACATCAAGTTCCACAAAGACAGGTTTTCTGCCAACACGAACAGCATAATTGAGCAGAAGCCTGCAGTAGGAACTCTTGCCGACATCTGTGGCACCAACAATCATTGCTATTGGTCCTCGAGTGTTCTCTGCCTCTGCTTTCTTGCGCACTTGTTCTAGGGCTGCATGTGTGTTCAAATACATCACCTGCAGAAGATAAACAAAGTTCACTGCTTATACACAAATGATCAACAGGTACAGATGAAGGGGGAATGGGAGACATATACAAACCATTGGAGTTTCTTTGGCTACATAAGCAACTTCAGGACGTCCTCGAAGCACCAGGGTACATCCATGCCATGTGAACACAGCTACCTTGGCGCCTGATTTGAACAAGTAACGCTTCTCCCTAACCAGTTCTGTCCCAAATATTTCTGCCATGCCACTCTTCAACTATGGAATAATGAAAAAACAATTTCATCTGAGGCAATATTGTAAGAGACCTGATATAATGAGGTGAGTTTCAAAAGCAGCCATATCCATTAATCCTTCAGGCTGTTTTCACATACACTGTTCAATCATCACTTGCAGCCTCATGTCAAAACTTGGCAATAGCCTTAGTGGAGATATCTTGGTACCTCATCCCATATTTGTAAGCATGGAATTTCAACAACGAATTGCTTAACTTGCCTTACCTACATGAAATTCTGCTTCTTCTTTAAATACTTTGGTGCCTAATCATACCACATGCATTGCATAAGGAATCTGTTAAGTATACAGTGCTCATTTTCTTGTATATTGTAATGTAATCCTCTGATGTGGGCAAGTTTATTCCTTTTGCAGCACCTTTCTAGCCCTCTAAGGCTCACAAAATCAGGATATGAAAGGTACTACCAAGGAACATGAGCTCTTAGTGGGCTCCTGTTCCCTGAAAAAGGCCAAAATCTGGATTTCTGCCAAAGAACCAGCAGGTACAATTAAAAACATGTTGGCTGATATTGAATACACTTTTTACATGCATGCCTTTCATTACATAGCAATGCGCCAAAAATATGTTGAACATTAAGAAAGTTCAGTTTCAGCCAAGTTTCCTGCAAGTATCAATAGGTTTTGCAAGAAGGAACTTTGGTATGAAATTAATGTTCCATCTTGGCCACCACCTTGACTTGAATTAACTTGAATTGGGCATTAATGCAGCAATTATTTTTGTTCAACTTAAAGGTCACTAATCCACATCTGACATAGTCTTCATAAAGTACCAGGCATCAACAGTCAAAATGCAGACCATATGTCTGCAAGAAGCAAGGTGAAACAGACATGAACAATTCTTTCAATGTCATACATGATTTTGAAACAGACTGACAGAGATATGCACTACATGTAGGCATTTGTGGGAATCACCACTTCTTATTTGGTTCATGTCAAGTGGCCATAATGCATGCCATGTCACATGACTACAGGGTTTCTGATTGGCTAGATGGATTTTTCTCACTTCTTTCTAGCTTGACATCTCCAGGAGTATGGAGATTTTGGCAGCAAATACATTTTCATTTGCATGCCACATAATCATAGTAAGTCTATAACAAAAGAGCCATGAGGATAAATTTGTCTGCCTTTGAAACTTGTTCCTTCATATGGGGATAATACCTACCTCCAGTGTGACTTTCTCCTTTCCCTCCACTTCAAATCGTAGTTCAGTATCAATATCCAGTCGATACTCTGTCCCCTATAACATCAAGACCAGTCAATTAAGTCTAGTCATGGGCTAGGAAAATAAAAAAGAAAGTGCAATAGCCAACCTTTTCCTCCTCCATTCTTGGTTCATAAGACCCAGCCTGATGAAACAAGCACAAAAACTGAACTCAGAATGAAACTTCACAAGGAAACGTTTCCTATCGCAAAATACATGTTCTTCAAAAGTCAGGGATTCCAATAAGACCATACACTTGAGAATATTTTAGATCTCTCACATTTAGAGAGAATTAGGCTTTTGCATTAAAATATAAAAATTAAAGTAAAAATGTGATCCTTAAAGCTGCTGTATGTTTGAGCTGGTGCAACTCATAAGTAATTACCAATGCCCTCAAAAAGAGGCCACAGCTTCACTGCAGCTATGGTTGGTAAGATGTTCCACTTCATATTCAACCAGTTAACAGTTTTTTTCAAATTTCGGGGGATATGGCAAACACATTGAATGAGAAGAATTAGGAAGTCTACAAACATTCTACTTTAATGTCTTCCCTATAGCATTAAACTTCCGTCATGAAACGATAGCAGGCTCAGCTATCACAGTGGATACATCATCTGCCATCTGATGTGGCTTGCTGATCATCAAGAGCATCATCAGGGCTGGCAAATAGATGAGTGAGAAGCGAAACAATCGTCTGGAACTTTTGCTGTCTGCTTCCTTGTAGAACTTCCAGGCTGGGGAAGAGAGTGAGATTTGATTTATGCAAATACAAGAATGCAGACCAAGCATGGGGACTTATGAGAAAGGTGGAGGTATTCACCAAGAAATATCAGGTAGGCATTGAGAGGAGCTGAGTCAATGGTAAATGTCCAAGTAGTAAGTCCTGTAATGGGTGCCAAGCAAGAGAGACCCAGAAGTGCCACACTATACCGCAAGGCAGTGGCTCTGCACAAATCTAATATCAAAATTCAATCAATAACTCTTATGAGAAGTACAGATGTGCAAATCACTCAAAGAGAATACTGCAGCTGGAGGAACACGTACCAGGATTCACAACAGCCATCATACGATAACCTCCCTTGGAATATTCGGCCCTAAGGTTCCATGAAAGAGCATTGAAATGGGGGAACTGCCAAGCATAGAGGATGCCTGCCATGACAAAAGCTCCAGGGTGTAAACTCCCTCCAGTGCATGCTGCCCAACCCATCAATGGTGGAATGGCACCCACTATAGAGCCAAAAATACTTCCTTATTTATCCATTTCATATGGAGCCAGCCATTTAGGTAAATTAATGGTTCACCAATGGATCCTAGCCACGTATTCAAAATTGTGAGTCGCTTGGAAGGAGTGTACACTGAGGTGTAAAGGAAAAAATTGAGAATCCCAAGTGAGGCACAGGTTATGTTGGTCGTCCCCAGTAGAATTGCCGAACCAGACACCATTGTTATGAGCCCAAAGGCTGCTGCATGTAGTGGCCTGGCTCAAAAAATATCCAAACATATCACCTGGAAAACCCACATCTACAATCTGGTTTACAAAGGACTGAAAATGGACTTACGTAAGAGATCCAGTGACTAGAAGGCGTGATTGTGTGCGAGCCATTTGAGCATCAAAGGGGACTTCCAAAACCTGATTGGTTGCATTGGCTCCTGCACTCAGCAGAGCAGTTCCTACACTACTCCAAAAAAAAGTATCTAACAGAAAGGAATCTGGTGCCATCATGTATCCACTCAAGGCAGTCAGCACCACCAGACCTGTTAGATGAAAGCATCACATCAAGACAGCTCACAATGGGAATTTTTATTATTATGGAACTACTTCAAAGAGATTTCACAGGACACTCACCAGACAGTCTGGCCTTGGATAGCTGGAGGTATGCCATTGGCAAGCCCTTGAATCCCTTCTGCCTTGGATAGGGATGCCATTCTACCTCTTCTGGGTTCAGAGCCCCAACCAAGGTCACCTCAGGTTTCTTGGCATCCTTCTGATAGCCAACCTTGTGCTTATCATGAGTTTGAACCTCTGAAGAAACAGGTGCAGGGGAGTGGAATGCCTCAAGCCTTGAGACTTCATTTTCATGAAGAGAAGGGAATTTGGATTCCTTAACCTTTTGACAGCAAATCTGGAAAGACAGGAAAATGTCATCAATGAGCATGGCACATGGTTGCTGATAAGAAGATCAGAAGTCTTGGAACTTCACCAGGCAACACGAGAAGTGGCGGTCAGGCCCTGGATTCCATTGCGACTTGACAGTAAACCTAAGAGTTCGCGATATGCTACAGCGAAGCATCAATCAAGAGTCACCTCACAAAGCAATACAAGCTGGCAGGAACACTGGACACATGCTTAGCATACCACAGTATGTTACCTTTTTTTTAACATGTGCAGGGTGCCTTTGAAAAGAAAACATTCCCAGAGATGCTGAATCAAATGCACAAAACAAGAGAGAATACATAAATAAATTCAATCCATGGAGAGGAACATTGAGGACCTCAAGGCAGCAACTGGACAGCAACTCCCTGGATTCCATGAATGAATATGATCAGATGTAAAGTGAAACCCAGGAAAAAAGAGCATGCACATAACCAGATGATTCTGCTTCTTTAAGGCATGCCTCACTATAAGTTCTCCTCCTGGATAAGAGAGGCCAATAAGAGAGGGATGGGGAAGAGAAAATATTGGCACCAAGATATTCAAACCTTTTCACAGTACACTCTATATAAAGGTTTCAAGTCAGAGAAGACTGACACCTTTGAAATGTACAAGAAAACCTTGCTTACTGATCATTCTCAATTTTTTTGTTGGTTAATATTCTGCAAGGTATTGGAGTTTTATCTGACAGAAAAAGACATGATATCTTATTATATGAGAATTGTGGAACTCTTTGGCAGCAGGCTCCATAGTGCAAACATAATATGCATTTTGATGTGAGTCAGGAGTCAGAGATCTTGGAAACTAATATTGTGGTATGTCAAAAATCTCCCTGATTCAGGATCTGTGTGTAAAAAGACCAAGACAAATGCAAACAGCACAAACACCAGAAACCATAGCTGCACATAGCAATGGCAATTCAGTGCAGCCTGTCCAAGTCAGTTTGTCACGTCTTGCAGGAAGTTGGAGCAAGCACTAAATCAACAGAATTTGGCAAAAGCAGTTCCACAATCTTTGTATGATAAGCTATGCCCCATTTTTCCATGAAGATAAAACTTCAAACCTTGGAGAATACTAACCTTCAAAAAAGAATGAGAATGACCAGCAAACAAGCTTCTCCTGTAAATTTCAAATGAGTCAGTCTTCTCTGATACACCCTGTATTATTCCTATAACTACACTCCAAGAGGGCAATCACTTGGTGTTATCACTTTTGTCCCTTCCTCCCTTGCCTTTCATTATCTTGACCTTATCTCGGCTGGTGATATTCCTAGGGTAGACATAATGTAAGAGAGAAATAGTTTTTCACATTCTAGATTAGTATGGGTCTCACCATTCAATTTCACCATAACTAGTCAGATTTCAAGCAGCAGACTGCCTGAAAACCAAATAAAAGTGAGTTTCCTCATCAAAAGCAGACTTCAAATGCATTATGTGAAACTGGGTTATAACTGTTTTGTGGGTGAAAATAAGTTCCTTATTAAGTGCTAGCTCATTAATATGGGATTTTACCATACACATCACTGGTGCACGGAGTTAATATGCCAGAACTCAAGGAATGAAATTATCAGCAAAATAAAAATTTATAAGAATATTGATTCATAGTGTGCCATAGACAGCAAGGTCTCAATACATAAATATATATTGCAGCCAGTAAAGCTGACACAATATACCAATCTCATACTTTCTCATAAGGATCGGAGTATAACTAGAAAGCCTTCCACACCAGTAATAAAAAATATTTAAAAAATGCAATTGGAAGGAAGATTGCCTTGCAAGTACAAAACATATTTCAAGTTATACAATGAAAACTCACGCTTAAAAAACAAAAGAATGAGCACCTACTCAAGGCATTACAAATATTAGGATTTTAATATAAAACTCCTCAACAAAAGTTCCCCAATGTAGCAATGTGTTGCTACCAGGACATCCTGCAGTTGAGACCCAAACATGAACTTTCATGACAGGGATGCACATGCGCTCTGCAAAACAAGAAGAAGTGAGTACTTTCATCCCATATTATACTGGAAATCCATGAGCACCAGGACGTTTGCGTTTGACTCCTCGCTGTTCATCTTTTTTAGGTTCATGAGTCCAGGTGAGGGCTAACTGCTCAGCACTTCTCCGCTCTGACCACTTCCCAACTGTGGAAACCACCTGCTTTGGCTTCACCAGTTTCACAAACCACTTTAACTCCTCAAAACTGGAATGCTCACTGTATGGGAGACCTGAATGAATACAAAAGTACTTATAAAAATTGGATGCTCAATAGCTCCACACACAGAGGAAAAATGAAAGAAGCCTGATGGAAGGGCTCACGGTGAATGATTATATTTCCAGAGCTTTGATGGTGTGCATCACTTTTCCCATGGGAAGCATCATATTCCCAGCCCCTCAAGATGAAAGCAAGAATGCAACTGTATGAGCTACCCCATTTCTTCAAGTAGCTGTTCAGGTACTGTTAAATAAGAAAAGAAAGATATAAGGAATCCAAAATTCTAGCCTCCAGAAGACCATTCAACTTCTTACTTGCATGACATCAAAGAAGAGGGCTTTTTGAGTAATCTGTAAGTCAACAGATCCAAAGACTAACTGCCTAAGACCAGACACAATTTTGAGTCAGACTTAAATCAAATTGCATTGATTCAAACCCAATATTTCTGTTTCCTTGCCAGTAGTGATTAGACAAAAGTAGGAAACCCTACAAATTCTAAATTTAACAAATTTAGAATGCAATCAGTGTTCAGGTACATTTGAATTAGCTGTAACAACCTGCAAATTCAGATAGATATTACATTTTCAAAATGCAAACTATATAAAAAGGAAATTCGTGAAATTGCTCCAGTTGCTGTTGGAGAATTCAGTCTTCTACAGGATGCTCTGTACCCCATACCCTCTTTTGACCTAGCAGCCTCTGCAGTGGTTCTGGTTTACCTATACTGCCTGTGAACCATGGGGTCTAAGCAGGATAATCTGTTGATTTTCAAGCATATATTTTTTCAATATTCAATCACGAAACTTACAACTGAACTACTTAACAGCTGATCACAAATGTGAATTTAGTTGCCAATTGGTGACTAGTGACTGCTACAGTGCACCTCTAATAAATCACACATGGTGATGAGAAGGAATCTCATGATTTTGCACATCATTGTAAGGTAAAAAAAAATTGAAAGATGATGTATGGTAATTATTGGTAGAAAACAACACAAACCTGAGCATCAAAATCAAATTTGTCAAGGGCATGGATCTTGGCCTTAGAAGGCTGAGTTGTGAGATCTCTGAGATATTCCTGAAGACCAAGGGTTTGGAGAATTCGTCTTTTCTTATCTGACACATACACCTTGAGAGACAGATGTTGGGCAATTGCAACCCATGCCTTCTCCTTCCCTGAACAGAGACATTGTATTCTTGCAATGGTCTGTAATGCACCTAAAGGCAGAACCAAAGATTCATAAAAATACATTCACCAATTGTGTATGAGTTGGTGACAATGAGTCCTCGGGGATTTCGTTTTAGGAACTTGGCACTCAAATCACAGATTTGTGATAAAACTTCTTCTTGAGGGGGAAATTTGTAGTAAGCATCACAGTAACTGGAACAGTTAAAAATATAAAGTAACTTTGTATTATTATTGACCACTGAAAAAGAGTTCTTGCGATAAATCCTAGAGAAGTTTGAGTAATCAGGAAGGATGTGGCTTACGTTGTGTCAAGGTACAGAAGAGATATTGCCTGCTTTTGAATGGAAGACTCCATGGAATGATGGGCACGAAAATCACCAGTATGAAGAATCACTTCACCAGATTGAGTCTTGAACAGGAACATCACAGCTCCTGGACAACTAGAATTTAAGAATTCAGCTTGCAATAAGTATGAATAAACAACACTAAAAATATCATACTTAATCCAACACACTTAGTTCTGGATATGGGAATGATGTATTACTCCAGCAAAGAAAATTTCATGTTCATTTTCCTATCAATTATACATTTCACAACTAAAAGGGGAACATTGAAAATAACCAAGACCAGATGCCCATCATACCAACCACAATGGAAATTGTGGTTGTGGAAATTATGAAGCCACTTGACCCTTTCATGGTTAGGCACTCAAATATCAGTCGCCCTCCAGGGAGGTTTCAGAAGAACTGGACCATGAAAGGGTTAATTATGGCTGAATCATCAGTAAAATTTGTGCTTCATCACTATCAATTGATTATAAGCACTAGTCCAAAAGATGTCATGCCAATGATGATGTGTAACTAGGAATGGGTTATTGACCAGTCAATTAAAAACATGTCAATTGACCAGTCAATATGGTCAACTATGGTCAATTTTGGTAAATAGGACCAACTTTTATTTATTTATTTTTTTCTTAGTAGTTTTTGCACCATTATATATGTCATGACTCACAAGTGATAGACAAGGGATGGGAAGTTGACTGGTCAACATGGTCATTTTAGACCATTTGCAGAAAATAATGGTTATGAGCCCAACAAGAGGTTAGGCCTTATGACTATATGCTCATAAATGACCATGTTGACCAGTCAACATCTCATTGCTAAGATAAATTTAATGTTCCAACTCATGCAATCTATAGGGCAAACAGTAATGAATCATGTTTCATAACTAGATTAATTTTTTTTAGGCATAGGCATGACCCAAGTACTTGTCCCATGATCACAGACTTTCAGAATAATTTGATGCTGTGATGCATACTATTAACCAGGACCATGATTGACCTTGCACAAAACTAAAGTTCTAAAGCTGTTATTTAGATCCTGAACCTTAACTTTGAAAGTCCTTGAGGCTATAAAACTTCGAACAGCAAGCTATGCTTGCACACACACTCTGCATCACTCAGGTGAAAGGTCATGGTAGTTTGGGCATTTGCTAAAATGTTTTCATATGCAACAGGTGCCACAGTCTAGGTGTTTGGCAGGTTGCATGAACAAATCTTAAAAATTGAACTGGCTCTTTGGTTTTAGTGCTGGGGGATAAAGGACCACAGTTATGAGCTCTATAAAAATATATTAATTCACAGAATTAAAAAAATTAGCAGTCAATAATGGTCAATTAAAAGGTCATCAATTGACCATCCCATCCCTATGTGTAACTACAACTTATTTCATGGCAAGGCCTACCAGGAAGAAAAGATTGAGAGAAAAGAACATAAGACGCCTGAAAATCTCTGGCACAAAACAGATAGAGTATTACTAGTGAAAACACATATCACCTGCAGACAGAAAAGCCACTTCATAACACAGTGCCTCAATAGATGACAAGATGCCCTCAACCGAGAACCAAAATCAGTTTTTTGTGTTGCTAGTCTTTTTCTTGACTAGTAATATTTAGCACTTTTCCTCCTTACAAATGGTCTGCAAGTGAACCTAATCATAAATTAATGTGTTCCCCTTACTTACTGAAAGGCTTCCAGGAGAGTCACCTCTACTCCCAGAATGATTTTTGGTTCATTCATGGGCAGAAGATTCAAGTACTTCTCTGGAACCCCTATAAATTTCTTCACAAGGTTCCCTGAAACACAATAAACCAGATGAAATTACAACAGTTGGTGATTTGCAAAATAAACATTGTTTTATTATTAAAAATATATATACCCACCTGTTGGGGAGGAACAATAAATTGGCAAGTTCCAATTTCTTGTCAGGCCTCTATAGTGATCATAATGATAGTGAGAGAGGAAGTAAAGCTCAATCTTTGAAATGGCTCCATAACTGAAAGCATCCACAGCAAATGTAGTCCCTGGAGTAAGAAAAAAATGTTTGTAGCACGATGAAGTTCCCCATGAGTGGGAAAACTGGAAATAAAAAAAAGCTGATTCTACTGGGAAAAATATGATAATGAAAATTTTGAGGTTTCAATAATGTAATACTGAATAAATTGGAGAAGCTCAATCTTGTAGGAACCTAATTAAAACAATAATCAAACACTTTGCAGAAAAGTGTACAAGTGGGGCCATGGAAAGGTTTCAACCCTAAATGATAATGCAAATCAAATAGAGAGAACAGGATGGACAGTCCTGATCCTGATTTGTTTCTTTTTCCGTGGACTTCAAGAAAATTTTACAACCCTTGATTTGTGATTGGAATTAATTAATAGCACTGATCTCAGGATATTAATAATTCATATTGTTGAAATAAGCCAGTATCATTAGAATGATAAATAGGTCAAGTAATTTTACACAACATTATAACGGGGAAAAAGTTAAGGTTACCATTCTATAGTCCTAGTACCAGCCAGAGTCCTCAAAGTAGCACAAGAATGTGACTAGCCCTGTTACATTATATAAAAGGGTAAGAATAACACTGGCATGGAACATCCACTCTTTCAAGACAAAGTTGCCTACCCCTCACTTTCTTGTAATCAGGACAAGTTTGTGAGGACCCAACAGCAGTTCCAGGGCTTGGTCTTTGCAGAAGCCTCGCATTTTCCTTCTCTTGTGGTTCTTTGAAGATCTTCTTCCACTCACTTATACTGGTCTCTGCCTTAACAATCTTGGCTTCAAGATCAGGGTCAATTTCATCTAAGTCTGCAAATGAATAAATTAGAATGAACTCAGAGTTCCCCAGTGACAATTAAAAGTGCACTTTTCAAGGTAAGAGAAAGAGTGGCTCACCAGATCCATCAAAGTCATAATCTGAACACTGCTGTTCCACATCTGCAGACCTGACATGATGTTCCTCTTTCTCCTGCTTCAAAGATGATTGCACAAAATTAATTTGTTCATTTTCTGATCCATCTAGGTTCTGTGCCACAACAGACTTAATTGGAAGTCTAGTTCCTTCAGCAGATGTGTCCTTTGTCTTTGAAGTCAGAACAGCAAAGTAATTAGTTATCTTCATAGTTGACCCATCTGATATTCTCTTCTTGGGTTTTTCCATTCTATCAACCATGGAAAAAAAAGGCATTAGTAGTTAGTGAGCATTATCCTAAAAGCTGCAGCAATACTTATAATCTTTGTATCACTAGAAATGTAATGATTTTATTGTGACAGCAGATATTGACCAGAATCAGTAGTAGATATCAAATTTTCTTATATTGTCAACCTTGTCATCCTTTCACATCTTTATGCTTTCTCATGAGAGTACCAAAAACTCAGGAAAGGAGAGTAGCAGATCTCTTTAACAGAGTTTTGAAATTATACTAAATTCTTGGAATTTCATATTTACAAACTTTCACATGTAGGTTTCTATGATTGACCTTAAGGTGGAAATTTACTTACCCTCATCTTATGGTGGAAATTTTACTTGGATTTCACAATATCTCTGAGACATTTTGTCAGATAAAATAAGTTTAATACTCTTTCACCTAAGACACACTGAAGAGCAGTTTATGTATTTTTTAATGCTATTTCTTGAACCACCAGAGGATGAAACCCCACTCTATGACTGGCAGTTTGTAGGCCTGGATTAACATCCCATAGATATCCTATCAAATGTCTAGGAGACCATTTCAAGGCAGAGATCTTGAGAAGATACTTTAGAGGATAAAGAGCCCAGTATGCAGAGTACTTGGGGCTCGCATAGCTGAACTTCAGGTGAAGAGAGCTTTGAATTAGTTCTAATCCTAGGGGAGCCTCAAAATAGGCCTTGGGGAGCCAGGCATAAGTTTCTTTCCATCTTCCTACATATGGAACATAATTTTTGTACAAGTTCATGCATGGAAAAGAAAATGAAAAGTATTCTAATGGTTAGAAACAGCATCAAAATAACTATTTCACTGCTCAGCTATACTGAGTAAGTTGCACTGCTGCTGCATGGCCATTTTTTTAAATGCCTTTCCTGATTAAAAGTACATTTACACTGATACATTGCATTTCCAGTTTTGTTTTTATGTAATACAGCTGGATTCCTATCCATTGCAAGTTTTAGACATCACGTACTCAAATTCTCAATATTTTAAACGGCCTAGTAATGGTGGTTGTGAGTTGTTGGGCTCCGTAATGTGTGATCGTGAATCCAAAAAGTTTAAAAATCCCTCTCATATCATGTAGGCCTACGGCCCTGCTAGTCTCAGGCCAATGGAAAAGCCTCGTCTAAGCATAGATCCATTCACTGTCTTGAAAAAAGCCTAGATTTATACAAAAACTGGAAAGGTTTTATCGTCCAAAGGAGAGATCCTACTGAAAAAGCGTGCACCGAGTCCAAGTACTGCGCTGCGCTAGAAGTCCACCGGCTACGGTGACCATCGCATGACTATAGAGAGCGCCATTGGACTCATGGCAGCTACGTGAAGTTGGTCAGGATTTCGATCGCTCCAACGATAGGCCTTAAATAATATCCACATTCCTATTTTTCTCGCGTGATCTAGTAGGCTAACAACACTGCTAACAATTTTTTTTTTACTACCACTTCTGCCCTCTCCAGTCTGCTGGCCGCCATCCTAAGGTAGTCACTCCTGCTCTTTCAAAGGTTCCACATGTGCGTAGATGTAGAGGTAGGCCCAATACTATATTTCCCTGAACTGGTCCCCGACCTTTTTCTGCAATGCGTTTTCTTAGATGTTGACTCCCTTTCTATCTATGCCAAATTGAAATCTAGCAGCGGTTGGTGCGAACATGGATTCGTCTCAGGAATTTGGATCTCAATCTCAAAGTTCATCTCAAGGAATAACTTCCGGAGTAAAGTCTGGAGTGAGGAAGAGGCAAAAGCGAGAAGCCCCTATCAGTTATGGAAGACTTGTAACATTCGAAGGTAAGCTGTCTTGTCTGAAGAAAGTGAGTGAAGCCACCCAGCATCCAAATATTCTGCACCATAGGAGATTGCTGCAATTTGAGAGTCAGAAAGATGAAAGCGAGAGAGCAGATTGTTTTGATTCGCAGTCCATAAAAGTGCAAGGAAAGGCACAAGATTCCTTTGTTTCATCAGCTGTAATGAACAGAGAACGTTATGGTAATGTTTTACCTCAAGAATCTGCCTCATCAATGATAGGGAAACCTGAATTGGCGGGAGCAAGTCATGATCAATCACCGGCATCTTCCCAAGAACCTTCCTCCTCAATTATACAAGATTCTCCTCTCAAGTCAGTATTAGAATCATGCCGAGAATCTATTCAAGGGAATTTGCAATCTCCGGTGAAATTGGCTCAGAATTCAAGTATTAATTGGGAAGATGAGGAGAAAAAAAATATCTCTTTCTGTTTGTTTTCCTCTGAAATCATAACTGAGGTAATGAGAGCTGAGAAGAAATCCTTGGTGGCTTCCCTACCGACATTGGACATTGGAGTATATTTGCAAATGCTTCATGAACTTGGATTTCCTGGTTCCAGTGTCATGTCTCGACTCTTCCAGCTTCTCATTGTGACTGAGAAGCGAGAAACAGCTGATGCCATATTTGAGATTTTATACAAGCAGTGTCAAATGGAAACCTGGAAGGTCATGCCAACGGATATTGCCACTGCCTTTAAGAACATTGGTGTCAATGTTCCTGCGGACATAACATTGTGTCCATGGTTATCCATGATGAGGAGTGATGATTTTGGAATGATGTCCACTGCCACTCTTATTGAGCGAATCATCATGTTTCTGAAACTGTTACAATTGAATATTCCCACTTGGGAGGAAGAATTAGCATCAGAGTACCTTCAAATCTTGCTCTGTGCTTCTGTTCTAACCATCTTTCGTCATTTTAAAGTCCGCTCAGTCATGCAGATGACTCTTAGTAAGCTCTTATGTACCTTCTCTGAATCTCACTTGGATCTTGAGGAAGCCATTGTAGTGATTCATGCTGCCAATGCTACCAAGGAGGACTACATTTATCTGTTGTCCCTGATTCCAAAATCTGGTTCAGGGCATCTACTCTCCCAGATTCTGGCTTTTTTTGCCTTACAGCGCATCTTAGCCCCTTTGGAAGAAGCTTGCATTCAGCCAGATGTATTACCTGAAGATATATATAATCTTCTTGAGGATTCAAATGTCATGGCATTATACTTAGAAGATAGAATTGCTGTGACAAGTCTTGTTGACCATGCAATAGGCACCAAGAGGTTCTTTACTGCTGCTGATAATGGTTTCCTGAAAAAGATCATCAGCTCATTTGAGAATCTGTACACCAAACTTTGGTCTCAGGTGATGGCTGCTCGACAGATTGAACGAAGCAAGATGTATGTTGGCCTTCTGAATTCCCTTCTCTTGGCAACTTCTCGATGGAATAACCTTTGCAGAACTTCTGAAGATGAGTCATTCATGGATATTGATGGGAGTTCCTTTTGATCATCCATTCTTCTCATCCTGGGAATGATCTCCATCAACATGGGAATCTATTACCTGGTTGTGTTACTGTGATTAAACCTGAAATTGCACCATTGGAGCATAAATTAAAGATATTTCGGCAGAACGGGTGTATTCACACGTAATGAACCTAAACCAAGCCAAGGTTTGTGAGTATTTCCATGGAACCCAACAGGATTATTCTTTTCATTTTTTTTGTAATAGGCATTTATCACTTGAAATTCATGCAAATAATAATAGGTGCCCATCACTTTGATTGACTTCAAAATGAGCCCTTGGGCTATTGGGCAACATGTAGATGGATTATATTATGGACCTAGAATGAAGTGATACATCCAGACATTGCATATTTTGTGTAAATGTGTTATCAGAAAATGATTGTTAGCATTTTTCGCTTGAATCAGGCAATTTTTCATTTAACTTGGGCACTCTTGCATGAGATGTGCCTCATGCATGAGTTTCCAAGTCAAGTGAGGAACTGTCTAATTCTTGTACATAAGTACTATCTCTGTCTGAGTTCTCACAAAAACTACTTTCATTCTTATTAACATGATACCATATAAGAAGCCTAAGTTTGTTGAAGATTAATTGCCTCACTTGGCCACTTGAGAAAATTAAAAATAAACACATGCCAGATAGGCTCACTGAATAATCACCCCAACCAAAAAGTAGATGTGGGGTGAGGACAGATCATTGACAGGATACTATATATAGCCAAGGAGAAAAAAAATTGTTACCAGGGTTTATGAATATCAGTTATGGGACCTTCCATAAGATATATATTTCAGATTAGAGCAAAATTTGGTTCCATTGCAGTCCTAGTTTTGACTCCACTGTTTCCCAAGATAAGCCCCATGCTGCTGCCTTAGGATTATGTTGCTTTGATCAATATTGAACTCCAGAACTTGGACATCTTAGAGGGCAAAGGCTTTTGAGCAGTTAAAGACTGTTGTATTCTGGTTCTACAGATTTGGGGGAAGGAGGGATGTGTGACTCCTTCATTGCTTGGATGTGGCTCCTTCCCATCTAACTGGATTAAACAATTGTGCACTGATCTCATCACAATGAATCTATTGCATTTCTCCTGTCACAGAATATCATTGTCCTATTTGAGGCTATGTGTAATTTTCTTAACGTTCTCAGTCTTATCCCTGTACTTGTCTTGGGATGCTACATATGTCAAAAAAAGATGGGATTCAATGACCTTTTGGGTTGGTAGAGGTGAGTATCTTCTTTGTTCATGTCTCATGATTCTATGAGGAAACCCCATAAGCATTGTTTATTACAGATACATTTCTTTTCCAGGTATAGAGAAGCAGAGGGAGGCAACCACTCCTGTGCATGTGAGTCAACTTTCCTCCCAATCACAAGCATTCAAGTTTCAACAACCGATTCAGGTAGCAATAAATCATTGTAAGATCCATCCGTGGGTGTTGCAATCAATGTTGATCCCTGGTACCCTTCAGTGTTGATGGTATACACTTTGCATGCTCTTCTGGACATACAAGTATATATTTGTACCCAACTTTTCCTAGTAAGTGCCTGTCTCAGTGTGCACAATAGAATGTGAAAGTGATTGTGTTCTGCACATTAAATATGGTACAGTGGTGTTTGTACGTTGATGGGTATTATTCCCCTCTCCATCTGCATTTCCCTAAATGAAATTAGATTAGGTTTGTCTTGTCCTTTGTATGGCCTGGCCTCAAAATCAGTGCTTGTCAACTTTGTGTCATCTTAGATGTAGGAAATCAAGGGTAAAGGAAACTGCAGGAGAGTGTTCTGTTGTAGAAGAGACCACTAGAACAGAATGTATGCCTATAAACAATGCAGAGATGAATTCCTTACTCTGCAACCCTTTAGACTTTAATTGTGAACTTTGGGTTATGTAATATGAAGTTCAGTTCTTTTTATATTATGGTTTCATCTAGCATGAAAAAAATAGTGCAAAAAGGAAGAGAAAGGAATTTCTTTTGTATAAGGATGCACAATGCCATCTAGAAGCAAATTCATTTCTCCTCATCATGTTAGGTATTTTTCTCAGACTGTGTGAAGGCTATGTAGCAGGAAATTTGAATATTGTTCCATATTGTGGTTGTAGTCCAAGAAGAAAGTCTATATGGCAGAGGAGATAGGAATGTAAGCATAGGTTATACATTCTTGAAGATAAGACTCAGCTGTAAAGAGGAAAGGATACTTGAGGATAGCTTTAGTTGAAATTATGGCAAATTTTTGTAAGTTGGAATATTTCTCTGAAAGGATAAAGTATGTATGAACTGAAAATACAGAAAATATATGGTAGTTAATATTAAGGGTGTCCCGGAAGTCAGGATTGATAGGATTGTGGAGTATGGATTATTTCCTGAAATGTTTAGAATACCTATACATGCTGATGGGATACTGTGATTCCAAAATTGCCTTAAGCCCAAGTGACCCAGTGATAGAAAACGATGAGAGTGATTTAAACTGACTCACCTTCCAGTAGCAACTTACAATGTGTAATGGCAAGATACTACCATTCCAAAGTCTCTTCAACCTCCCTAGCTATTGAAATAAATACAAAGGTCACAGGTCTATCCAGTAACAAGAACAGGGTCTCAGGAATTCCTGGAGCATAATTGACTATTTTTTTTATGTGTATTTTTTTAAGCTCTACACAGAACTCCATGTTGCACTTTAGTAAAGACATAAAAAGTGGCTTTATGTACATCTTGTTACATGGTCTTCCTCTGACAACACTAACTGGCAATTTTTCAGTTCTTGATAAAGGATAAGGAAGGAAATGGACAAAGAACCAAATGGCTTTTCTGATTTGTAACTTTCCATCAGTAATCTCTGCCCTTGCAGTATATATGATAATTTTAAAGCAAAATGTTACTGTTATTCTCCTTGCAATCAAACTGCAGAAGTAATGGAGAGGTTGTTCAATAGATTCAGTAGCATTACATCTTATCACAACTATCACTACCACATATTTTTTATATTTTTTATGGTGTTTTCTATACAAGCAATTGTGCTCTTTCAGATACACAAGTCTGACATATGTGTGATTTATAAAATCTGTTTGATTTTACTTCATGTTGGGTTCCAAGGAATGTGTCAGAAGTATAATCCAGTAAGAAAAATTTTAAACAGAATTTAATGCCCTGGAAATCCTCTGCTTGACAAAATCCCAGTTTCCAGTGTAAAAGGCCTTCACAGTAATCTCAACTGATATCCTTTTTCTGCAGGCTTTTAGCATTCCATTGACATCCATATATATTGATTTTCATGCATGTTTTAATTTAAAAAATGAAGTAGACCTTTTCTTGGTACAGCCCAACAGTGCTTTCAACAAAGTGCTGGAAGAGCAAGTAGATGAGTAGATTCCAGTGACTCTGGGACAGTTTGAGTCAATATTGGTCTAAAGGGGTCACTCTGGGATAAAAGTCAATTTGGGTCACTTGGACCAGATTTTGTAGTTGAGGGAACATCCACATTACAATCTCATATCAGGTAGGCAAGTGAATTGCTTATGGTCTAGACTTGCAGTAATCCACACTATAATACTATCATTTCTGACTTTGGAACTCCTTGTACTTACGTCTACTCAGGAAAGAATAGAGGAAAAGGAAAGCAGTTAAGTCTGCAAAGGAGGACTTCACAGAAACTGATGTTGAGTATCTATTAAGGCCTACTTTGCAGTCAGCATGTTAGTTTTCTTCTTTGCTCTGCTTTCTCCTTTGAAAAGGATTTGTACTTTGAATACTTCATAACATTTGTTCCATTCCTGGCCTTCTTCCAATGCAGGTTGCACTTGTCAATGCAAAGAAGTCCTTATTGGCAGAGCTCAGACTGAATAACATCAGTCTACCTGATGATGTTCCAGCTGTGATAGTGATGTCATATTGGAGAAGTGGCACATCTTTCCTGGGCTCCATCATCGATCAATATCCTGGTGTATTTTATTCCTATGAACCTCTCCATTCTTTGAGTAAAAACCGCGTCTTGACCACTAAGTCAGAGGGAGACATGGCATTGAAGTGGTTGAGTAATCTCATTTCCTGTAATTATTCTGCTATCCCAGGATATCTTGCAGGCATTAGGAAGCAAATGTGGCTCATTTCCAAAAATAGAAGATGGTGGAGGGCATGCAGAGGAAAGTTACCAATCTGCACCAATTCTGAGTTCCTTTCTGGGATCTGCAAACTTTATCCAATCCATTTTTTGAAAACAGTTCGAGTTGGGTTACATGTCTTGGAGCCATTGTTGGAAGATAAAAGCCAAAATATTAAAATCATTCATCTTCTTCGTGATCCCCGAGGTGTAGCTGTTTCTCGAGAGTCCATGAAATGGTGCACTGATTCGTCTTGTCATAATCCTGCCAAATTCTGTAAGCAAATGATGAGGGACATGGAGAATGGAGAGAGACTCAATGCTAAATATCCTGGCACATATTTGAAAGTTATTTATGAGAACTTGAGTACAAATCCCCAGGCAGTTGTGACTGAAATTTTGGACTTCTTGAAACTCCCTCATGCAAGATCTGTATATGCATATTTGTCAGTGGCCACCAAATTTGACAAACAAAAATCGAGAAAAGATCCATATTCAGTTCTTCGCAACTCCAATCAGACTGCTTTTGCATGGAAGAATATAATTTCTCCCCCACTCCTGAATAATATCCAGAGTCACTGTGCCTCTCTCATAAAGGATTTAGGATTCTCACTGATCTGATCATATTGGTGCTGCTTGTTCCAATTTCATGAGTTGATATATATGTCTGTCTTCATGTGTTGCACCATGTCTCCTCATGCTATGAGATGGTTCCTGTCACTTCTTCCTGAGTATGTTCACTATGAGCATCACTGTCAAGTTACCATGCATTTCACCATATATTCCTGTGCCAAATGTACCTGAAGATTATGTATTGAGCTCAAAATAATAGCATCTATTGTAACCAAGCTAATGCACCCCAATATAGATGCTGCAAATGTAAGTGCAGCCCATCTGTGATCTTTCTCCAGCCTTGTGATACATGATCCTATCTTAGAGTGGTGCAAGGAAAATGTTCATTCCGTCCATTCCATTCCAGCAATTTAGTGATGCTATTCATGTAGCACATAATATTTATTGATTCATTCTGCTTAAATACTTAGGTCAATTAGCTGAAATCTGGAGTGATATTGTACATTTATCCTGCCAGAATACAGTTCTTTCTTGTCATGCTTCAAATTGAAAAAAAAAATATTCCCCTTCCCACATGTACTCATTCCAAGAATTCCATGAACCCTGTTCAGATAATGTACACTTGCTTCTATATTGAGTGCACTTGGCTCCTGTATTGATGTTTATGCACAAGCCTTTGCTTTTTTTTTTTTGAGAGTAGCTCATAGCAATACTCTGACTTGTTCCTGATTTCAACAGTTGCTGTGATATGTTCATTCTGAGTAGCCAGTTTTACATTTACAAATGGAAATTGGATGCTCTTTTCCTCTGGGGGAGTTTTAGATTTACATGTGGATGTAAAGTTGCATTCTTCCTTACATGGTTTTGTATAGGAGAATCATTTGAACAACCTCTGAAAGTAATTTTGTTTGACCCATATGGATTGTGTACAATAAAATTGTGACTTTTTTTCTGTTGTATTACTGCTCCTCTTTCAGCTGTGCCTGACCTTGCTTTGTATATTGGGGGAACCCATTACTGAAAATGGCCTTTTTTTTGGTGCTTGAAAGAAAATGAGCAACTGAACTGTAAGCAGACAAAAGGATTACATTTGGTGAACCAATGCTGGGGCTACACTCGTTTCAATTTTCAGTTCTCAGCTTCTCAATTCTCCCTGTTGGCTACATTCATCTCTGTTTTTCCTTTCCAATTTGGAAAGCAATGCCTATCCATTTCAAGCTTTGCATGAGTGCGTTTTGGTAGCAGCAGCCATTTTGGGATTGTGATGAAGATTTCATCATTGCCAGAGTTAGACTTGACCTGGATCACTTGAGTGTTCATGAATTGGTGCTCATGATGTGCAAAAAGGCAAGATTTGCTGTTGAAAGAACAGGAAGAATGTTTTAACTATCTTATGGGAGAAGGTGCTGTTTTTGTAACTTAACAACTTGTGAAATGTGAAGTATTGGAATAAATGGGAGAGTTTGGTAAATTATCAATAATGAACACAACATGACAAATAATGGTAACAGCCCAAGTGAACCTGCCACCCCTGGAGATGCACTTGACATTCATGTTGTATGTGAAAGGAATGTTGGTTCCTTCATGGTGCTGAAAATTGAGAACTGGAATTAGTATAGTCTACCTTTTCAACATTGAAATCTGTCAACAGAAAATGAGACCAGTGTGACCCCAGCTTAATTCTTTGTGTATCCTGTTGAAGTGTCAAAGACTGAGTTGGGTGTTGTACAGATGTTCTTTGGTACAAACATTTCCCTTTTGTGTGACTTGGTTTATCTTCATTTTCTTGTTTATTTCATCATTCATTCTCCCTTAAACTGTGTCCTTCACTCTTTGATTCATATAGTGTGATAGTGGGATATACAAGAGTTACCGTATACTCTGCTGCCTTTGCATATTCAACAATTTTAGAATTAGAATTGCATGAATGGGATTAGGGAGAGGAGGAGCAGAGGTTGCATTTAGCAAGAGAATATAGTAGTTTGCTAGAATGCCTAGGGAAAAAAATTACCAAGCCACAAAACTTTGACGACTTGTCGTCAGGGTGATTTGATTCGGGACTTATCCAAAAACCTTCTTGTGATGTTAGCACTGAATATGTTACACAAGGGGCAGCTTCTTTTGATCTGTGATTTTGATATTCCTGTTTTTTTCTTTTTCTCTTTGTTCTGATGCAAACGGGTGAATTTCTTCTGCTTAACTTTTTAAGCAAGTTATGTTGTATTGGTTTTAATACACCATTCCAAAAAAAAAACAGAGTGGTAGAGTGAAAATCCATTCCATCTTTCCTTGTTGCCCTATTGAAACTCCTACACTGGTGGACAAAATTAAGGTAACACCGTTTTTCGTCAATATTTTAATTAAAATAGTAAATTAGATGGTGAAAATACATTGCTATACATAATTTTACATGCAGATTCTGAATATCCAATCGAAATTGATCTACATGCTTTGCAACATGCAAATTAATGAAGCCTATAAAAAGGTAATTGCTATTGACTTCTAAGCATGTCTGTTGGAACATGTAATTTTTCGTTTCATGATGATATCATAACTCTGTTACTACCTGTCCAAATTTTCTCCTTGTTTATACACTTCTTGGTAATGATAAATTGTATCTCTGTACAAATTTTCATTTATATACCTCATAGAATAAAAACGTTATTCTGATTTTTGCGATTGTTACCTAATTTTGTCCACTAGTGTATATGAGTTGTCATGTATTATACCCTAAATCAATGGGAAATAAGATACCACAAGGTATTCATTGGTGCTGCTTGTTCCAATTTCGTGAATTGATATATGTCTGTCGTCGTGTGCTGCAACATGTCCTCCTTACACCATGATGAGATGGTTCCTGTCATTTCTTCCCAATTACATTTTTCACTGTCAAGTTACCATGCATTTCACCTCATAATCCTGTGCCAAATGTACCTGAAGATTATGTAATAAGCTCAAAACAATAACATCTATTGTAACCAAGCTAATGCACTCTGATGTTTATCAGTGTGCAGAATTTTGAGCAATGAATGAGGAAAGAGAGGGCAAATATCCATTCAAGCTAGGGGAAAGCACTCGGTTTTTTCTTGGAATGGTTTATTTGGGGTATTGTGGAAAATTTTTGAGCCATTCAATAAAATGTTCTGTCTCATTTGAATGAAGTTTTTATTTTACAGAATTGTGGTGCCTGAATCATCATGATTTAATGATGAAAAATTTTCAAACAACTAGAGGAAAATGGAGACTTGATTCCTGCTACCTCTCCAAGGACTTGGAATAAAATTGATATGTGGTGAAAGTGCTTCCCTAGACCATCTTTCTCCCATAGTTAAGATTAGGGCTGTCACGATAGATCGATGGTTGGGGGTATGGATTGTTTTTTCGACCATTGCGATGATTCGACAATTGATGTTAAAGGGAAAATGTCCCATTGGATTGAGGCGAGTACAGTACAATATAGTCCGTCCGGGCGGGGAAAGGAGGAGGCAGCGTGACTCGCATGGGCTTGCAGTTTCTGTCACGATCAAATTCTGAAAATGCTGGGATTGACTATTTGAAAGAAGGGAAGGGGAAAAAGACAAACATGTTAGATTGGAGACAGGAAATGGGAAAGGAGAGGGAGGAAAAACGGAAAGTATTTTTTTAAATCTTCAGTCTTCGCTCGATCTCATCAGGTGCTTCCTGCAAAAGTGAACTGTTCTTGCACTCCCTTGATTTCAAAACGTAAATTGGCTAATCCTCTCTATATTCCTGTCTTTCTCTTTAGTATACGTTTTTTTAATTTTTAACTTGCCCTGGGACGTTTTACCTCTTTACCTGAACCCAAACCGAAAGTGAATTTCTTGCATGGACGTTGCTTATTTTATGGCTGTACTGATGTTTCGGCAACGGCCGGTATGGCACCGTCGGCAGGTTTTCTATCTGTCGGTGCCGATATCCAAAGAAGATAGTGTAGAACGAAGAAAAAGAGGGACAAAATTACGCTAACGGACTTGGCAACTGATTTTCAACGGCCTTTTAAAAAAAAAGTTAACCCATTCGGCACAACAACGTTGTATCAACATTGAGAATAGGTTGAAACGTTGAGACTTGGTTGAAGTTGAGAATTCGACGAAAAATCAACATCAATGAAATGCTAGCTATTCATAATTAACCGTGTTTTCAGCATTTGGTGACTACTCGTGAATTAGGGAAGTCGTTCAGAGGCTTTTAGGAGCAAATTAAAAAAAAATCGTATTCTCAATGTTGTTTTTACGTGGAGTTATCCACATCATATCAACTAAAATTTGGTTCTACGAATCGACGCGAGATGGCACATAACCGCCAATTCCGCGATTCTTATCCTGATGCCTTTAAATAACCAGTACCCTGCGTTTTTCAGACAGTACCCAATCTTTTCCCATTTACAGCATAGGGGAAGGTATAGGAATTCCTAGATAGACATGTTTAAGGAGGTAATCAGGCAGAAGGAGACCGAAATTACTTCTGGCTAGTGGGTCCGAAAAGACACGCTCAATTTTCCTAAATCTCCACATGGCACGCGCCCTTGCTCAGACTCATCCATGATGGATAGAGTATAAAAACCATGCCCGCGAGGTTGTTTCCCTCTACTGGACCGAGAGGTACTTGAGTCATGCAAGTACTCAACGTGAATTCTCATTCAGTAGAGGAAATAAAACTCTGAGGGTCCTTTACGTGGGATGATTGTACTCGATAGAGTACTGCTACTATCATACCTCTTGGGAACCATCTATGGAGCTATCGAGTCCATATTCAATTTCATCCGACAATCAAAGCTCATTCAAACCCTGGAATAGGGAGGAGGTACTATAATGCCCTTACGTTGAAAATTCAACGTTGACACAACGTCGCACAGCATCAACTTTTCAACGTTGAGCTGTGTTTCATTTCAACATTGTGGCAACATCATGGCAACATGTTACGTTGAAAAGTCAACCTTTTCTCAACATTGAAGCAACATTGCCATCAACCTTTTTTCAACGTCGACACAACGCTGTTGTGCCGAATGGGAAGGCTGTCCTGATGCATCCATGATTAATGGATGTCATCTTCGATAATTGGAAGCATGGTAGGTTTTTTTACTGCCTGCGAGGGTCACACCTTCCCCCCGCACCCCCCGATCACAAGCGTGAGATTTTGGAAGACTGATAAATATCTGCGCTCTGATAGAGGCAAGACACGATGGAAGCCAAACCTCCACCCGATTGCGACGAGAAAAGATTAAATCCCCCCCCCCCCCCCCGATTGATCGATACACTATCCAGAGTTCAGGTCGATGCATCGATGTTTTGAAAACTGCCATCGTGACAGCCCTAGTTAAGATCAGGACAAGAACTCTTTCATCAGCGTGACTTCACCTGCCCCACTCATGTCTCCATGCTTAAATCAAGTCTTGGGTATTGAGAGCATTGATTCAACTGCATGCACCTATGAACATACACGGAAAGTGCAGAAATGAAGAAGAACCAGTTCATGAATGAATGAGCGTGCCTATAAAGCCGAGTTTGGAGCCTTCTCCTAAGGACGTTTACAGAGCATGGGTCTACTGATTGTAGAGGCAGCAGGCGAAGAAGCAATGGAGGGCAGGTGGGAAACATCCGAATTAAATCCGTTCTCATGAATTAAACGTCATCGCGGTCCTCAAGGGGGGGGGGGGGGAAGCTTCGCCATTACTGTGCCCTATACGAAATCTCACGTCGCGGGCCATTTCCCGTTGCTGTGGAGCTGACTGGTGAAAGGGTTAAACAACCTCGAGCATGACGAAGACTCGAAAGGCCTGCATACGAACAATGACAGGCTACAAGGTAGAAAAACGGAATCCTCAGACACATCAAGGAGAGAATAGTTGATATTGAGGAGATTAAAAGAGCTTGAAACAGGGGTGGATACATACATTTTTCATAGGGTCTTCCCTAGGTTCATAGGCGGTTCCCAAGTTCCTAATTACCCCCCCTCCCCCCGCCTACCACCATTCTTTGTCCTTCGCCCTTTTTATTTTTTGTCTGGGAGAAGAACTTGAGTATCTATTTCATTGCCTCCAATAAAATTTAATGCAGATGCTATTTTGAATAAATAAATCAAATGCTAACATTGCCATAGGGAGGGGGGGGGGGCGGTCGCCCCCCCCCCCCCTTGTATCCGACCCTGGCTTGGAAGAACCTTAAGGTCCTCCACCGTGTCTTGCTGTCCAATTCGTTCCCTTGCCGATAAGGCAATGGTTCCACTTGAAGCCAACCGAATTCTCCTGTCGTTCGACTTTAGAATACCGAAGCAAACGATCGAGTCGAACCAACTTATCATTCGTATGAAATACTAGGTTTCTCTCTATATAATGCGCTAATGTATGCTTGTAAACCGCCTTGCGACGTTATGTAAATAGACACCCTGGCATATTAAATGTCGTTCGGAAGCTTATGATCGGAAGGTGTGCACCGTGCAATCGGATTCGAAATATTGTGACGGTCTCAGGAGTATTGAATCCGGCACGTTGGGGTGCTGGCGAGATCCGCCCTCCAGTCCGCAGACCGGATGCCGACACCGGGGGTAACCGTAGGAGGCTCTAAAATCGGGGTGAACCCCAACGAAACTCAGGAGCGCGAATACAGCCAAACTTTAATGTGAGACACTGGGGTCAGCAACACAACTTAGTTTCTCTATCAGACCGATCAGGGCAATCCGGCCCGTCGCAAAGCAAATGAATGTAACAGCCAAGAAAGCTTAGTACACATGAACCGAATATGCCAGACGCGAACGGGGACACAGGGGACAGGGACAATACCCGAGCCGGGCAAGTTTACCGCCTAGACGGTGATTCGGCACGAGGGCGTATAGGGTATGGAACCGCGTTGCCTCGGTTTGCGAATGCGGTCCTGAGCGGGATGGACGGTGATTCGGCACGAGGGCATAGAGGGTACGGAACCTCGTTGCCTCGGTTTGCGAATGCGGTCCTGAGCTATCCATAGCTCCCCACAGCTCTCCGAAACAAGTTTTTAATAATAAAAGGAGCTAAGTGAATGGTGGGCCCCGCTGTCAGTGGTGGACCGCCACATGACTCCCGCCCACCATGGTGAGATCTTCCCAACACCAGGGCTGGCAGAGTGCAACACCCTGGAGAAGCTGTTGTGAACGCCATGGGAAGGTGACCCATGACTCAGGCGTGAGGACGAGTGTGCAGGCACGCTCGCCACCACACCTGGATCTCTCCCGTTTTTACTTTTAGCTGTTAATTCTATTTTCCTTTTTTGACAGAGAGCGGCCTTCAATGAGAAGCAAAATGCCCCCCTGCCTCCCTATACAATACGCCACTGCTCTAGGGAGAGAATCGTTTCCAAGGAAAAAAAGTATCGGTCTGACGACTTTCTCCCCTAGTGAGTTTCAGTATTTCTAAACAAAACTTCATCTAGCTCATTTAGATGAAATCACGATTACGGAGAATTTCGCGTCTTTTTCACCTATGACAACTGCGCAGATACAGTTTGGCAATACAAATTCGGATGACCGAGCAGCTCTCTACATGAGGCAAAGGTGCCCAGAGACGAGCTAGCGCTTTCCAGCAGGCGCCCGCTCATGCGCAATGCAGACGGTGAGACCCGCCTCCACGTTCTCTGTATTGCGTTGTCTATGACCTGGGGGGAGGCCTCCAGGCACTGGCCTCCCGTCAAGATTCTTTGCAGGGGTCAATTGTCAGGCACCAGATTTCGCTCGTTTTGCGTCGATTGGATATGAATCCAATGGTTCTCAGAGATTTCTTAAAGGTATTTGATACTCATTGGATAATCCAAAACTTTTATGGGAAACGCGCCTCCAAAGAATTTTTGAGGAGGCCGAGTCGCTGCCCAAGGTCAAAAGTAGTTATCAGAAATAGTGGCTCATGAATACAGGGATTCGTTCAACGTAGCCCTGCCATTTGTATGCACGTGGAACGTTTTGGGGATGCACGAACGGACATGTGAGACCGGTAGGATTAATTAGGTCTGGAACACGTGGGAACCACGGGGAGCAAGTGCTGTCAGATGCCAGCGCGCGATGTCTGCATTCCCTGCCTTTCTGATTAGAACTTGCCCGTAGGGGATCAAAGAAACACGATGAAATATGTCATCCAGAGATTTCGTACGACTGATGCACGGAGGAACGGAATGCGGGAAAGGCACCGACACGGTGGTCGAGCTCGAAAGATCCGGGGTCGCATTTAGGGGAAACATGGCTGCCAGCAACTTGTTCTCTGAAGACGTGGTCTGCCGTATTAATAGGCAGGGAAATGTGGATGTTGGCATCGTGGTGTTCGGTGGCTCCGGGTCTATGGACTCGGAGGATTCGGACTTTGATGAGGAATTTAATCGATTGAAGTCCGGCCAAGTCCTTGTCGCATGGCACCACAACAACAAGGAACAAGCTGCTTCTGAGCACAAGGTCTGTTTTTATGGAATTCAGGCGAACCAAACCTAATTTTGGCCCAAGCTAACGAAGAAGACATTAGATCTTGAACACAAATGATTAATTATCATATTAGCCCCAGGTGTATTTTTTAATTGAAATTTTGCAATGAGCTGCAAGGGGCCCTGGGTTGATCCTAGACAAGTGTTACATCACCATTATCTAATTTCTAAACATTTTTTTTCAAGATTGTCCTGGCAGACAGGTCTCTGATGATGGGAGATGTGGTGCGGCTCAATTCTGAACCTCAGGGACAGAAAGGATATTGCCTTAACATAGAAGTGAAGTGTGCGGTCCAGGTTGTTGGCACCGATTGTGTGATACCCGAAGTCTCAACTAAAAAGCTGAAACCACTGCTGGTAAGCCTGATGTGAGGCCTAACTATGGCCTGGGAATGTTATTTGTATGTAGATATTTAAATATATAATTATGGAAAGTAAGGATGGCAAAGACTTGCAAGATAGACATGCACCTTGTAATTCAGAATTACTGTGCTACATGCCTCTCTATTCCATTGACTGGTTTAAACCTGTTTGATTGGTCTTCATTTCGTTTTTGGCAGGATATTCAAGAGAATGTGACTGTCTGCTATGAGTCATGGGTGGGAATAGTAAAAGATGTCCAGTACCAGATCCTTGTCCAATTCAAAGATGGCTCTAGGTGCTACATCACAGATGAAGATGCAGAGGGTTTTGATGATATTACAGGACCAGTTAGGAAAGAGCTGGTTAGTTCCTCTTTATCCTCATTGCTTGGATCCCTAAGAAGCCAGAATGGAGAAGACCTGTTGATATGAGTCTGTTCATGTTGACTGATTGTAGGGATTGGAGTACTACAACAATTTTTACCCAGGACAGAGGCTATCAGGAAAAATGAAGTATTTCCAGCATGCAACATGGGTTGTTTGCAACAATGAAGTGAAACAATGGCGACGGAAGCCCCTCCGTGAGGTTGTTATTATCATTGTGGAAGTGGGAATCAAGGCTGTTGATGTCCATTGGTTAATGAAGATAAAAGCAGACCCCAGTTCAGAGAAGAATTCACCTCCAAAGGAAACTGTGTCTGGAGACCAAATCAATTGGTTTGTGGTAACTCATATTCTGTTGACACATTCAGGTTTTTCTTTAAAAACAAATAGGTGTAACTTAATGTCTTAGAAGACAAAGTGACTTTGCTTAAGAAACTCGAGTTCTCTTTACATGTTTATGCCAAAATGTATGTTTTCATAATGAATAGAAAACAGAGGCTATTCAGTCAATAATAAATCTGAGGTCAAGTATCTGTTTGCCCAGATGTGTATATTTAATTCTATTAAAGGCCTATACCAGCCAATTTATTTGGAAATCTTGGGCAATTTTAGGAATTTGAATCTTTTTGTTTTGTGGAGTTGACCAATACTACTCAGTATCTGCCAATCATCTATCTATTCCTCCACCCAAAGCAAATCTCATCCCCCCAATCCTCTCTTCTTTGAACATTTTTTGCCTCCCTTAATCTTCACACTCCCGTCTAATTAATCACATTGTGATACAGTCAAGTGGCCAGTCACCACCAGTCAGCTCATGTAATGTATAACAGGGTCTTCTAAAAGCCACTTTAGCTGTTCAGGTGTCTGTTGAGCAGGCACCAGGTGATGTAATACAGGGAAATGGGTTGTTGGATCGATGTGATTTTGTGAAAGCTGATGTGTGCAAACAAACCAGGTGACACCTTAATGTAACATGCCCTAACAGTGGAGAGAAAAGCCACCACAAATGGACTCCCTAGGTACTCTCAGAATCAAAAGACACTATTCCAGGAGATTCGCCCTATTCCTACTGTGTATATTACTGTAATCACCTGAGCTGTTGTGTGCAATGGTGACACCAATGCATGATTATCTAATGCACATCAGCTTCTGCTTGGTCTAATTGTCTAACATCTAATGTTTCCCATCCTACTTCACTCCTTGTGTGTTCCATAGCTGCCTGAACATCAAAAGTGATTTATGCATTTTGTTTATCTATTCTTAGTCTCATGATTGAGACTAAGAATAGATAAACATGAGTTAAACATAGATGATGTCATGGATGTTAAAATGTTTTGGGGCCAGTTTAAAATGATTTTAATCAGTTGATTGATTTATGTTTTACCAAGAAGTAGGTTATTTTTTAATTAATATTTTTTAGTTATATTTTAAAGAGATGTTGAGAAATTATCACTTCATGATATTGGGTATTCTATAACATAAAAAAAAATAATTCATTGAAAAGCAAGAATATTAAATGGTATTTCATGAGTATTCAAACAAATGTTAACAATAGATGGCTTTTAATGCATTGCTCCCTTGATGGTGAGAAGAGGTGAATGCAAACTGGACTTGATAAAGTAGAGCCCTACCTTCAAATTGGTGCACATGGATCTTTGGATGTGGTTTTCATGCATAAGGAATCATCAAAATTGGAACATTAAAGGTATATGAGTATATTAGCAGCATTGGTTCAGATTCCCAAAGAATTTCCATACCCCACACAATTTTTCTTATTATGTGCTGAGAGCCTCCTTGGAGACTGAGATTCAGATTCTAGCCTACATTTTCTCCCTTTAGTCTCCAGATCCAGAACATATTTTCTCCTTTGTATCATCAAGTGGGAGACAAGTCAAAGTATACCATCCAAGAGTCTGACTCTCTACTTATTAAGGCACAGTGGCAAGAAGCTTTACTTGACTATCTGCGCAACAAAACTCTCCCATGCTCTGATGGTCAAACAGTGAAAGGTGAGCAAAACTGTTAGCCCCCCACACAATGTATGAAATTGAAGCATAAATTGGGGAGTATTGATAGAAGAATTCAATTCTTCTGAAGGCCAAGGCTCAAGGCGAAAGAAAAAGATGGCAAAAGAAGCAGAGGATGATGGGGAACTGGGAGATGCTTTGCCCCTCTGTGATGGTACTTTTCTTTTTTGTACCTCAAAATTCCTCAAATCCAAGAAAACACTCTCAGACCCTCAATCCTTGTTTCATTATCATACAGGAAGGCTCGATGGGAAAGAAAAAGCAGAGGAACCAGGAGATGCTGGAGATAGCAGTGATGAATATGAGGACATTGAGAATGAGGGTGAATTTGGTGGGGGGAAAACCATTGGGTTCCTTACCAAGCTTCCTGGTAAGGACAAGGTTCTCTCATTGTGTTGGCTGTTGTGAGCTACATATTGCTCCTTTGCATTATATCAGTAGATGTATCTTACTCCTTTGTGCTACAATATTTGCATTTGGTACACTCATCAGGGGAGAGAGGAAGAGCAGGTTCACGCAAGAGGAGAGCCAAGAATTCAACACCTAGGGGGATTTATTTATCTCGACAGAAGCATCCATCAGACTCAAAATCACCCAGGAAGCCAGCTGTCAGACCTGGTGAAGAAGTTATAGTTGACACACTGCTCACATATTCTATTATTGATGTGATGTGGCAGGTAGGTTCTCCTTGCATGTTTATGTGCTACTTTTTTGTGTTGTGATTCAACACAATGTAAGTCTGGCCCTATCAGGATGGGACCATCTCGAGGGGAATCCCATCTCGAGATCTCTTCCCAGTTTTGAACCTGAACGAGATGGAGTATTTCCCTGGTGACTTTGTTCTTCCTGCAAATGAGTGCATGCTGCATCACCCTCGATATGGAGTGATTCAGAAGGTTCAGCACGAAGACCTCATCGCCGTTGTGAAATGGTTTCGCATCAAGCATTATGCTGACCGAGCCACGTAAGATGTATCCATGTATTACACTTTCCATGAATGTCATCCTGTTTATGCTTCAGAGGTTCTTTGAATCTGTTCACAGGTGTGAGTTTGAGAAGGAGGAAGAGTGTGGTGTTTATGAACTGAGAGAGCACAGTGATTATGAACAGATGCGCCCTGGGACTGTTGTAGTCCATCTCTCCAATATGTTTGGCTCTGTCACATCTCTCATGGACCTCTCAAAAGCAACAGAGGACTCAAAGAACCAGGAACCTGTCACTGGTCAGGTTCTTCTCGTTGGGACTGATGGCAAGGTAAGATTCAAGATTTTGTTACCTGGAATTCAGAGGCCCAAGACAAGTTATGGAAATTCCAAATAGAATCTGCATCAAAGTAGGTGGTCACTGGGGGATAAATTAGCTAGACTCAATGTACTGGACCAAAAGGAATCAGTTCAGCATGGAAGAAGAAAGGATTGGGGGAGGGGGGGAATTAGAAAAGAAAATGCGCCTTTCATCAGTGAAGCATGTTTGCATACTGGTGATGGACACAGTCATATAAATAAGATTTCCCCTCCTAATTTCAAGGAAAATGGATGAGAGGCAGGAAGCTTCACTTGGTTTATCAGATATAGGGTGACATGCACCAGATCTGTTTAACTTTAAACTTATTCGTTTTCATAATGGGCGTCTATGGGAATATGTTTTTCTTGGTTAAACTGATTCCCATAGGGAACCATTGTGAGATCAGATTAATTTAGCTTAAACGGATTCGGTGCATGTCACCCATAGGGTGTGCTGCGAATGTTGGCACTCTAAGCAAATTCTGCGCTTCCACCTTGGTTGCTGGTTTTCGTGAAGAAACTTCCTCGTTCATATTGGGTGTGGTGATACCTTTATTATAAACCTTCCTGTACCGCAAACCTCGAGTGCCCCAGGCCTTTCATTTCCGAGGGCCTGGGTCAAAGGTGAAGTTGGGTCAGATGTTGGCAATCTCGGCATACTTGTGTATCACTGTCGTTTACCAACAAAATGAATGCAACAATACCTAATGTGGAAGAGGAGAACGGAATGTGCAAAAGCTTAGCAAAATCACAAGATTTCGCCGGATTTTCGGAGTGCGCTTAGAGAAAGTGGCCACTGCGAGAAAACTACAACAGCAAATATGGCTGTTCCAGCACATGTTAACAACATTAGTCCTACCATCTGAGAATACTTATCTACCCATGCCTATGGCACTAGTAGAGGAAGCAGAACTTTGACAATTGCAAAGTGCCGACATTCGCAGCTCTTACCCTACTCAGCCCAACTGTCGATAATGAGCTGGCGTATCGATGAACCGCACCGAAGGCGGAGGGGCTCATCAGCTGGGCTGATGGCAGATTATCATCTCATGCACGTCGCTCCGTGCCGATTGTGACAAAAGGAGAGCGGTAGGGGAACCAACAAATAACTATCCGTTACCCTGCTGTCTGTTATCAGCTTTTTTACGCCAGCTTATCAGATACCTGCGACACTGCATCCTGGTACCGGTTTTCTACCCCAAGTAGGGGAGGCCTGAAGCACGGAAGTTTTTGTATGAAAAGAAACGGGAAGTGTGGCAGGATGTGCGATCATTTCACGCAGTACTGCGGCAGACAATGACTAAAACATGCTCTTGTCAAATATGTATTTTTTTTTGTCGAACGGACGCAAGAAATGTACCATTTCCGTTAGAAAATGTAAATCCTAGGTCTTTGGCATCCGTATTATTGGAAAAGAGGAAGTTGTCCGGCAAGGGGCCCGATGCCAGAATTCCATTCGAGCCAGGTGTCAGACGGTGGGAGGGATCAGTTTATGTAATGTAGAGATTTTTTAGGCCTGGAAGAGACCAGAATCGGTATAAGCCTGCGTTTTTCTCGGAACAGACGGCGTGCCCGATTCCATCATTAAACTCAGCCACAGACAGAAAATTTTCATTTACCTTACACAATTTTGATCTTTTGCGTGGAAGAGGCCGGAAGCACCTGCTCCATTTCTTGGCAAAGAGACGAGGAAGTCAGGCACCAGGACGTATTCACGCGCACACGTGTCCTGTTATTTTTTTCCCTTGATCGAGGGGGGGGGGGGGGGGGGGGGTTTGGCCCCGGCGGTGAGGGGGGGGGGGGGGGGGGGGGGGGGGGGGGGGGTTTGGCACCGGCAGTGCGAAAACCTACCGATAGTGCAAATGATGCCACATCGGCGTCCGGTACTGGTAGTCGCCTATGCATGGTAAAGCCCTAATTCCCTCAGCCATTGCTGATTCCCCTTCTCACAGTTTTTTGGAAAGGAAAAACCGAACTAAATCTGCAAGGTTTCTTTGGAAGCAATGTCATCTCCATTGCTACAGACTGAAGGATATGAGGAAAGACACTCCTAGTATTTCTTTAAACAGATAGCAAGAATGAAGACATCGGGGGGTGGGATACGAATGGGATTCTGCTTGGTGATTTATATGATAACTTTCCCTCCTTCAGCGGAAATTCCAGGAAAACTTGGAGACTGAAGGAAGGAGAAAAAAAAAAAGTTGGTAGGGATCTTTCTCTCTTTCAAGTAAAGCATCAATAATTCTTCCTTGTTGTGCTTTTTGTGAAATGAGAATTATTTCCTCTTCAAGGGACTGACTCATTCATTCATGAGTCATTTTACCTCACTCATTCATTCATTCATTCAGTCATTTTGCTTCAACACATCTATCAGCTACCATCAGTTATAGGTATGGCATATAATAAAAAATGTAGAATTCCATAATTCTACTTTGGAAGCCATTAATGGGCTGAGTCACATGGGCCCAAGACTACATATTTCAAGAGGGTCTATTATTTTTGGCCATCTGTCATTATTGTGAAAAATTAAAATGTAGGCTATACTGGTCCTGGTCTCAATTATCATTATTTGAACAAATTTTCTGTACAGCTTGGTAAAATTACAGCAGACACTTAATGCAATGCACCCAAGTATCACAAATAGAACTGCTGGCCCATCCAGTTATGAAAGCTTGGCTAGAACCCATATACATCAATGAAAAAAGTATTTTCTCTGGGTTTGCTTGTTCTTTTGGGAACACATTTCCATTTTATGTCACTTTCTTTCAATTTCATGTGAAAGAGGTGAGACTGAAACATTTGTTTAATATTCAGGGAATCCACATCAACATCAGAAAATTCCAAGTTTTTGATTTTGTGAGGGCAATGCTGTTCATAAGAAAAATTCTACTTCACTGCATTTCAGAGTAATGAGAGTTTATTTTGCAAGCCATCATGTTTTCAACTACAGTATATCTTAATAGTTAAACATGGATTATGAATTGTTACAGTTGAGGGTGAGATGGCTGAATGGTACTGAAAGTCTGTGCCACCCGTTTGAGCTATTCTGGATCAATCCTGAAGATGAGGAAATGATGAATGGCTCTCCATCATCATCTTCTTCAGAAGTTGGGTCCATTGAAGATGTGGTAGATGATGCAGACGAAGGTGGCTCCAGCATTGAGTCATGGACCACGGCTTCTGAAGACTCTTTTCATTTGAGGAGCAAAACTGCCATACCTGTGTAAGATTCTCAGCCCTTTTCCATTTGGTTGCAGGTCATAATACAGTTCTACATCTGAATTTATGGGATTTGCAGTGACATTTGGCAGCAGCTTGGTGTAGCAACAGATATGATAAGTAGTGCTCTCAATGCAGAGGTAGTAGAAGAGGCTCTATCTGTTTCCAACATCCCTGAAGTGTTCACTCGTGTCTTCAAGATATTCAGGTGAAGTTGTTAAAAGCTCAAGGGATATATAAGGAACCTGGATTTTTATATGCTCAAGTATACAGTAAGGGATTCCTTTTATTTTAGGCTGGACCCAGAGGATGTAGAAGAAACTCTCGCAGAACTGCGAATGTCAACAGAATCTGCATTGTCCACAGAGTCCTCATCTGTGATGAGGGATATTCTTGAAGGCTTTTCCCTCTTCATGAACTGCCTCAGTGGAAATTTGTTGGAGGAGCTGAAGAATGAGAGGAACATCCCACTCTCCAATGAAGCAATATCTGTTGCTGCTGCACGAGAAATTCTTAATAGCATCCAGAGGACATGCTCCAAGATGGTCCATCAAACCAGTGAATCCAAGGATAAGGAACATGAGAGTGATGACATTCTTCTCCAGTCTCCTCTAAGCTCCTGTGATATACCTGCCAGTGCCAATTCCAGTGTTCATGTCAATCCTAATGTGGGTGATGACGGCAAGCCAGAAGCAGATATGATCATAGGTAGTCCTGCAAATGAAGGACATCCAAATTCTAATGAAGAGCCAAAGGAGGGCTTTCAAGAGCCTATGTCTCCAACATGGGGTGAGAAAATGGAAAGCTTTCCTGACTTCTTCCTGATGAATCAACTTCAATGAAGTTCTTATACATGTATTTTCAATGCATAGGCTTGTCATTTGAAGAGTCAGTACCAGCCACCCATGCCTTTGTGTCAGGGAAAAGTATAGGTGAGACTGGGGCTACCCTTCCTTCAAGTGTGATGAAAACTCTGCAGACCAAAGATCTGAAGCTCTTGAGAAAGAACCTCCCACGGGGGATCCTGGTGAAAACCTATGAAGACAGGGGGAATCTTTTCTCTGCTATGGTGGTTGGACCTGAGAGCACCCCTTATGAGGACTGCCCTTTCTTCTTTGAAATCATGATACCGTCAGACTATCCCAATTCTCCTCCCCTCATGCACTATCAGAGTTTTTGCTCTGACCGACTCAATCCAAACCTCTATGAAAATGGCAAAGTTTGTGTGAGTCTCTTAGGAACATGGAGTGGAAGTGGATCTGAAGTGTGGAATCCTAAAGTATCAAACCTCCTTCAAGTCCTCCTCTCCATCCAAGGTATTTCCAAACTTCCAAAATCCTAGGTAATAAAGTGAAGGAACATGGCAAATGATGCATTTGGATAAATTTCCAGGTCTCATATTGAATGCAGAGCCATACTACAATGAAGCAGGTTATGAGAAATATAGAGGGACAGATGAAGCTTCGGAGGACTCCCGTCGTTATAATGAAATGGTTCTGACCAAAGTTGTTCAATCCATGACAAACATCATCCAAAACCGTCCATTACCATTCCAAAAGGAGGTCATGCAACATTTGGAACGCATCTTCCTTAGGTAGGTAGCTATGGTCTGAAGATCATTGTCTTAGCCATTCATGATGAAGATTATGTAAGTAGATTGTCTTGTTAGATTGAGAGATTTCCTGCCAGTTCCATTATGCTACAATTGTATGATGGCTAGAGTGCTCTTTAGACAAAGAAAAGCAGTTTTGCGAAAAAATTGTATTTATTTTTGGCCCTGATAACAAATTATATTGGACGTGATTCTTCTCCATTGATTTTAGATTTTTGCATCGGATGGAGAGCATCTTGAATTCTGATCAAGGTAAGGGGCTACCTTGCATTCTCTAAGACCAAACCATATACTTCTTATGTATATATTTCATTGATGACAGGTGGAGTATCTCTAAGCTTCCCTCTCCTGCCCACATCTCGTGGCTTCCGTATTTCCCTGGAGAAAGGCCTCAATCAGCTCAAAGCCGTTGCTGCAGACCACAACCTGCTCCCCAGTCCATGATTTCCCATATTCTTAGATTACATCATTTCATGCTCCTTCTTCCTGTCATGGGATGTGCCTTTTCATCCATTCTTTCTGCTTTTTTTTTCTTTCATCTTAAGGTAATAAAGAGCTTATATTCTCTTCTTCATCCTCCTTGCAAGCACATAAATTTCCCTTGATTCACTTCGACTGGAATTGGGTTTCACATAGCGGACATGCTCATAGAATTCCTTCAGGGATTCCAAGAACTTATTTTCTGTGCCACCCTGGAAGATCTTGCAGAGGAAGTGGGCCCCAAGGGCTGAATGAGTGAGTGCAAAGTCCCGTGCTGCAATCGCCAACATCATTCCATTTTCGTGATCCAGTTCCTTTATCCCACTTAGTGTTGGGGACATATCACTCAACACAACAGAAACTGCCCTATTGCTTAATGCATCCTGGATTCTGGTGATGGTTGAAGGGTGGGTGAAATCAGCCGGGGCAATGGTGATGGCTCCCTTTACTGGCTGAATTGGAAGTAGGTCAACTGCAACTACACAAACTTCCCCTTCACCTGTGCATTTAAATAAAAGAATGTCACCTGTGATATTTCCACTTCCCTGCCTCTATCATGGAAATGGGTACAATTTCATCCTTTTCTTATTTTTTTTCCATCAAGATATTGGAAAATTTCTTCATGGATGGATGGTTGTTTCTTGTTATAGACAAATACAAAGAATAGAACATGAAATCAGTGTTTATATTTACCCTGACTTGTGTCAACTTGAGTCCGTTGGACAGCAACCTGTGTCCAAGCTCCTGGGGCTGCTCCACAGTCCACAACACATTGGCCTTTCTTGAATAACTTGTACTTGTCATCAATCTCAATGAGCTTGTAGGCACTCCTTGCCCTGAGAAACAAGTATGTATTTCTGGGTTGAAGTGAGATGCAAGGAGTAGATTTAGATATGGAGCTCAACTTAAGGTCTAAGGAATGAAATTATTTGAACCTGTATTGGGCAGCACGTCTCATCTGCACGTAAGGATCTCGCAATTGCCTTTTGACCCATTCTGCTGAAGTTGTCACTTTCATGCGACAGAAGGAATGAGAATGATTTGTTTTCACCACTCTGAAAAGGGATCTGAACACCCCAGCTGCAGTCAGTCTGTGCATGCTGAGATGTCTTCAGCAAATAACTATGAAGCAGTATAATCTGCTTGGAGAAAAACAGACATGTACAGATACAATCTTAGCTATGTCAAAAGTTGATCATTTCTATAAATTACTCCATTTGACAATAATATCTTGAAAGATGGTACCAGTGAAGCACAGATGGACAAGCAGCTCACTTTCATCATTGATTAAGTGCATTGCATCTGGCTGTCAAAATAATTCAGCATCATTGCTGGTGAGTGCCATTTACAACTCTGTGTCCCTGTCCAGTTGATTGTTTTCTTGGTTAACCCCTTAATTGTTTTTGATGCAATATTACACATCTGGTTCTTGCACACCATTAGTTTTTTTTATACACTATGTTGCCAAAAGTATTGGGACACCCAAGGCAAAAGCAATTAACAGGCCAAGGCAGCATCATAGAGGGTGTCTTAGTAGTGCAACAGTATAATAGAAGCTAATGTGGGGTAGATATCGCTATATATGGTATTTGTACCAAAACCCCAATCTGAACCCCATTGAACACCTTTTGGGATGAACTGGAGAAGCCTGTGAGGAGTCCATGGAAGCTGAGGTCACTTCCAGAACTTGAGACAGTCTGGCAGGGTATTTCCTTTGAGATTTGTCAAAAATTGGTGGGAAGTGTACCACAAGGCCAAATATGGGCCTGGACCATATTAAAAAATGTTCTAGAGACTATTAGTTGCTTTTGCCTTGGTGTCCCAATACTTTTGGCACCATAGTGTATATTAAACATCTGTAACATCACCATATACTGTTTTCAATGTAATACTATGCTTGTGTTGGGTGCTGGGTTATTGTAAACTTTGTACAACAGTGCCCAGACAAAGACATTCCATTTAAAAATGAATTGGGATATAGATATAGTTACTGGAATTGAAAGACTTTGGGGGTTAATGTTGGTAAGAAAAAAAAAAAGTTGTGCCAAAATATTAGCTCACTTACTATCTTTTGCATTAAAATTGAATTCCAGACAAGAAGGAAGAGCACAATAAGCTTCACGGACAAGTACAGAGACATTTTGCGCAATGTGCCCAGTCCAGGTAGGTGGTGTTAGTGGAATCCAAGTGGAGTGGAATGATGTTGTGATATTCTTGTGTCCTAACCCTTCATTACAGTGGCTGTGATCACAACCAGTGGGAAAAATGAATTAAGCGATGTAGTGATTAAACGTGGTGTGGCTTGTAGTTCTTTCTGCTCAGTATCCCTCTCCCCACCTATAGTCTCTTTTGCACTGAGATACCCGAGCCGAATGGGTCAACTGCTTCAGCAGTCGCAGACATTTGCAGTGAATTTCCTGGCTAAGAACCAGGTGAGAGTCAACTGAAATGGTTCTTTTCCTCTCATATTTACTTCATACTGCTCATTCATATATTCAGGTTGCTCTTGGCATCCACTTTGGTAAACCTCCACCCAATGAAGGATCTCACAGTCAGTTTGATGATGTCTCTCATATTATGTCTCCAGAGGGGCTACCACTACTCACTGGTGTAGTTTCAGGTAAGCATTCCATTTTATAAAACTCAAAGCTGCTCCATAATACTAAATCCTCTCCCACTTAAGATAAACAAAACCATTTTCAATGCAGGAACACCTTCAAGGGATGAAATCCAAATTATAGAGCTAAATAAAAAATAAAAAATAGCTATAGACTATAGGCTTGGGAATCCATCAAGGAACCTGAAGGAATGCCTTGGTAGTTCTTCAATGTAGGGCACTAAAGGTTGATGAGATTGGAGATCATCGTGTCTGGTATGGAGAAGTAAAAGCTGGACATCTGTACAGCTCTCAGGAGCCACTCTTATATTTTGCAAGGTGACTCTTCCATGAATTCTCATAGAGATATTCACATATAATTTTCAGCAGCACTTCTATTCTTTATTATTAGGAGTTACAGGAGTATAGGCGATGAATTATTTCTTGATGCCTTTGAGAACCAAAGTCTCCCATTTGAAGACTGGACCCATGAAGCGCACCTTCGCATGGCATGGAATTATATCCAAGAGCATGGTCCAATTGAAGCTATACCATTCATCAAGTATGTCTATTAGATTTCTTCCTAATAATCAGGGTTTATAACCAGCAAATTACAGTGGTATACCAAACAGCAGAAACAAAATATACAGGTTACTTCAGTTGCTGTCCCTTTATACACCTATTAAATTGGCTGCATACTCCAAGCATAAAAAATATATCTCCAAATGGGCAAAATACAGGGTCTGGCAGAAACATCTACCCACTTTCAAACTGCAAAAAGTGGGGGTAAAAAAGCTTATCTATTGAAAATAAGCCTGCTGCTGCCTCACATCAGCCATAACCCGTTGCTACATATCCTCAGATATGGCTCTAATCTCAGCCTTGATGTTTGCCTTCAGGCAAACATTGAACTATCCACTGTCTGCGGTGGGCAGTTCTGTGCCTAGAAAATGAAGGTCGCCACTTGGAAGACATGATCTTCAGGAACTAAGATACCATAATAAATGGCATAACAAACATATTCTTTCTGTATATTTGTTTTCAATAAATAAGCATTTTTACCCCCACTTTTTGCAGTTTGAAAGTGGGTAGATGTTTCTGCCAGACCTTGTACAAACAGAAATTGTTAAACATTTTATGGCACACCGATGCCAAATTGATTCTAATTGAATCAAATCAATGGTACCATTCTGACCAACCAGAATAACACACCCTCTCAATTTGCCATAGACATGCAAGTTGCACCAGCATTGCTGCTCTTTTGATGCCAAGGTGCTTCCTCAGCTTAGTATGAATGATTTCACTATTTGGAAAGAGACTTTCTACTCCTGTATGAAACCATCCAGAATATGGTTGCCCAAATTTACTTTGCTCATAAGTGAAAATAAAATAAAAACTGCATTTTTGGCAATATATTTTAAATTAGAGCATTTTCATCAGCAAGCTTGTCAAATTTCCCAATTTTCCACTTTTATGAGTGAAATTAGAAAGGATTTTAGCCTGAGATATTATAAATGCTCCTTCAAATTTAGTTCAGAAAATGGGGTATAATTACATCATATCTCATTCTTCAATTTTTACTATCAGGAATGGAATAAAAAAGTACAATGAAAGGCACCAGAAGAGGATTCAGCGAGGATATCATGAAACAGTCACAATGTTTTACATTCACATGGTGTCAGATGCCATTCAACAGTTCCAAGGGGCAACCAACTTTGATGATTTCATCTGTCAACATCATCATCTTCTAAAAAGGAACCTGCTCTTTGAATATTATTCTCAATCTGTGATACAAACTCAGGAAGCAAAAGAGAGGTGAGTCCAAAACATATTAGCCTATAAATTAATCATGGTTGCAATCACATGATATATGAAGTAATGAATTTTGCTTAATTGAAGTTTCTTTCTTTTGTGGAGGTTTGTGAACCCAGATGTGAAGCCACTCCCTCCTTTGCATTGAACTGGAGGTCTCAAAGAGATGACATACTCATTAAGACTTTGGCTGGCTGGTTATGTCAAGTGAGTTGAGTTATTTGGTGGAAATTCAGATGCACTGAGACCAATAAATTTTCCTACAGGCCTAAACTGAATTATTTGTACAACAGACCATGAGTAGAAAACTTGTCAATTTATTTCACAATACATATACACGGAATATGACAGAAAGAAATTCATGCAAAGATGACATTATCAACAGAGCTAGGTGTCAAGAGAGAAAACTTCATAATATCACAGCAAGCTGAGGAGGAATAGAGAAGAAACAAACAGGACAGAGAGACAAAGAAGAGATTCAGGCCTTGGTCTGCAATGATTTCATGAAACTCTCCATGCTATATTCATTCTCATACTGACTCTCATCCCAGAGGTCAGGCAGGTTCTCAAGCACCACTTTCAACCCCCCTTTACTGTTGCTTTCTCCCTTGTCATTGCTTGTTTCTGCCTTGCTCCCATTGAATGTGAAGAGATCCAGCAACTGTTCAGTTCCCATTGTCTGAAGGCTTGCATTGTCCTGGGTAATCACGGTGTTGGCTGTTGCTAATTTAAATTTCTGCAGCCCCATGATCTTCTCTTCGAGAGTCCCACGAGTTATCAAGCGATACACATTCACTACTTTCTTTTGTCCAATTCGATGAGCCCTATCCATGGCCTGAAGGTCCTTCATAGGGTTCCAGTCATGTTCCACAAATATCACGGTGTCTGCACCAGTCAGATTAAGTCCTAAGCCACCAACTTGAGTTGTGAGGAGGAGGACATCGATGGATGGGTCTGAATTGAAGCGATGTACTACATCGTGTCGCTGACCTGCGGGTGTGCTACCATCTAGCCGCATGTAGCTCACCTCAGGCATGCATTTCTTGAGCAATGTCTTCTCCACGATGTCCAGCATTGCTTTCAGCTGGAAAAAGATGAGGACTCGATGCTGAGAGACAACAGAGACATCACCTGCCCCTGAGTCTTGACAGCCAATGCCACAGTCCAGGAGGAGTTGACGCAATGCCTGTAATTTGGCAGAATGATTGATATCATCCAAGTCAGAGTTGGTTTCTCTCAGCATGCTTATCACTGATCCCCATTCTGGGTGTTCTGGACTCAACACCAATTTGGGGTGGTTACAAACTTTCTTTAAATATTGGAGAGCCTGAAACACATGCACACGGTCAGTCTTGTCAAGCTGAGATAAGTCAGAGGCCGCAGTGTCACACAAATGTTGCTGGGCTCGAGATCTTGAAAAATCTTCATATAGTTTCTGCTGCAGGGGACTCAATTCACAGTAATAATCCTGTGTGATTTTTGGAGGTAAATCTTCCAAGACATCTTGCTTGATTCTACGTAAGAGGAAAGGCAATACTTGGCGATGTAATGCTTCCAAAGCTAAAATTCCTGCTTGCTGTTCCTGTGAAGATGATTTTGCATCACGTGATTGAAGAATCGGTTTGCTGTATCGAGCAGTAAATTCCTTTTCTGTTCCAAGGAAGCCTGGCATGAGGAAATCAAAGAGAGACCACAATTCTAAAACATTATTTTGAATTGGGGTACCAGAAAGTATGAGTCTATGAGCAGCATCCAGCTTTTTCACAGCTTTAGACAACTTTGTCTTGCCATTTTTGATCATGTGCCCCTCATCTAAGATGCAAAACTTCCATTTAATAGAAGAGAAGAACTCGATATCATTTCTGACGATATCATATGAGGCAACAACAATATTGTACGACTCCAAGATGGCCCTGAGTCGCTGCCGTTCAGTAGGAGGCCCACTGTAATGCAAAGGTTTCAGGAGTTGGTTTGCAATGAACTTCTTGATCTCATATATCCAATGACCAGTAACAGTTGGAGGACATATGATGAGTGATGGTAGTGAGTCCTTTGTCTTTGGATTCTCATATTCTGAAGCCATGATACAAATGGCTTGTAGAGTTTTTCCCAATCCCATGTCATCACACAAGATTCCATGGAGCTTGTATCGCTGTAGGAATCCCAACCAATTCAAGCCTTCTTGTTGATATTTACGCAGCTCAGCCAGGATAATTTTTGGCACAGGCACACTCTTCATCAAGGAAGGATTCAAGAGCTGTTCCAAGAAATTTTTCTGATCAGCAGTAGGAGAATGCATTTGACTTTTGGGGAGTTCACTGTTCTTCATAGCTGAAGCATGGAATGGCATAAGTTGGACAAGAGAAGCAAAGCATTGGGATGACATGAGTCTAGTTGGCACATCATTATCACTCATCTGACCAAGGATTGGCAAGATGAGAATGGGAACATATGGAACCAATTTTAACCCGGTTCTATCAATGAGGCTTGCAATGGCTTCCACTGCTCCCTGCCTACTGGACACTTTCATGGGATCATTCAGCAGTTCTAGCAAAATATCCAGTACCATATTCATTATGCTTTCAATTTTCACAGAAGCAAATGTGGAGAGACACCGAGCTGCCATATGCCTGACTGCTGTGAAAGGTAAGCTGAGGCATTTCATGAAATCCTTGCAAAGCCTCACTAACTCCTCATGCAGATTTTCATGGACGGCAACAGAAAGCACCTCAAAGACCCTCAAACTTCTCAGAAGAGAATGAGCAATTTCATCTGTGATTGGATCAGACAACAGCAGTGAAGAGAATTCAGTAGCAGCTTCCCATAAAGGAGGTAGATCTTTTGGCAAGTTCTCACCGAACTCTGAAGCTAGTGAGCGAATGGCCAATTCAGCTCCTCTTACCTGAAGATACTGAGAATCATCACTGTCTGTTGTGGCTTCTGATTCAGGTGCTGCTTTTCCAAGCTTACCAGATCCCATTCCAGAGTCTTGTCTCTTGAGGGGTTGTTCAGCAGAGACTTGATGTTGCAGGAGCTTGAGAATCCCTTCTGATTTTGTACATTTGACCAACTTCTCTCGATCAAGTGGTAGCTCTTGCAGTTCCAGATTGGGCATCACAGAACCACTGCATAGATATGTGATGAGGTTCTTGACAACTTTGGCATTTGGGCATGGGTCTTTCTTGGCGCAAGACTTGAGCACCATTGCCAAGGCACAGGCAGCTCTATTTTGTAGCTGAGATGTTGACTGCTTTCGAATGGTCTCCATCAGTGGTCGAATGAGTGGGTTTAGCTTCTCAGGAAGATTTTTTGTCCATGCCACAGCTTCAGCAATGCATGCATTGCAGAGAAGAGTCAAGCTCTCCTGCTCTATTATTGTCTGCTGAGCCAGCTTTTGAATGTTGAGTCTTTGATCCTCAAGAAGATCTCTCCTCTTTTGATTCACCTTCAGACTCTTCATTACTCCACTTTCAACTACCTTTGCAAACTCTTCAATTTGTTGGAGGGTGAGCACTGCAGAACCTGAGTACTCTGTTGGAATTTTGGCATTATGGTGTAGCAGAGAAGCAACCAAGTCTCTAACTCCCTGCTGGAGTCGAGTGAAGTTGACAGCAATCTCATCATAGTACAGACACTGTGTAAGGCACTGGTGAAAGCATTGCACAAGTGAATCTGGCACACTAGAGTCTGGGTACTGAGACAGCCATTCAGCAGTTACCAATGCCACAACGGTTCGTCCGTATGCAGAACGTGCATTCAAAGGAGAGGCCAATATCTGAGCATAAGTCTCACTTGGTGGCTCATGATATACAACTCCTTCTAGAGGAATTGTGATTGCGCCTGAAAGGAGGCCAAGAAGGCGAGCAGCCAAGAGGCGGCACTGCATTGCACATTCACTCCTGTGCATGAAAGAATCATGGTGTTTCTCAGAACCACCAAGATACAGAGACTCAGTTCCTTTATACACTGACCTCATGACTGCATTCATATCAGGCCCCAGTAGGTTCAGATCAAGCACCACATGGCTTTGTGTCATTGCAAGACACAGTAATCCAGAAACAATTGTGCAAGTTGAAGAGACCAAGGTGGTAAGCCGAGTTCTATTAATCAAATTCCTCCAAAGTTTGAATATTAGTTTGTGAAGAGATGGGAGTGTTTCTACGAGAGCTCTCATATATGTAAAACAAATTGCTTCAGATAGAATGGTGTGGATCCAGTCAGCTCCCTCCTTCTCTGGCAGCTTGCTAGTCAAGACAATCAGAGTCTCTAAGGTTGCCTTTCGAACATTGGCTGAAGAATGAGCCATGAAGGGCCACAAACGCCTGACAAGTTCATTCAGTGGTAAGCCTTCTGCTGGGGCATCATAATGGGACAAAAGTGAAGACAGAAGAGTGATCACACTGTTAGTTGCTGAAGTCAGATCATCCAAGCACTGCAATGCATCCCACAAAGTTGTGAGAAGCTTAGGGATTTGCTCAGGAAGGGCCTTGAGGAGCCTTGATGCTATGGGAACCAAAGCGTTTGCAGCTGCTGCAGCAACATCATCCATTGAATCTTGTAGGCATTCAAAGACTTGTTCAAAGACACTGGGAACTAACTTCTCCTGCAGATCATCTCTTGCTGCAAAAATGTATTTGATACCCAGAAGCCCTCCATGTCTCACCTGCCATTCTTTCTCTTTTAACAATTCAATAAGAACTTGCATGACAGCTTCAACATGTTCTTCTTTCTGATGGTAACAAACCCAGCTGAGGGCCTGAGCAGCTGTCTCTTTCACTGGAGCAACCACCTGGTCTGAAACAAAGTCTCCAAATCTATCAAGAAGAAGAACACAAATGAGTTTCAAAGCAATGTCTTCTAGCCATGAGTCATGTCCTTGTGCCATCTCTTCACATGAAGCTCCTAAGACCTTCCCTGCACCTGAACCATGTACTCTAATAACTTCTCTCAATACTGTTGCAGCACCATGCCTCACCTCCCACACAGGTGAAAATAAATCATACGAAAGGGTGTCACAAAAAGCTTGGAAAGGCCACGACTTTGGGCCAGTTTCAGCAGTAAGTGGTTCTTCATCTCCTTCTACCTTCACTCGCTTTGTTGGGTGAGGTTCCCCATTCACTTCTGCTTGTGCTGGTCTCTTGAGGCCAAGATCTGTTGCAACATCTCCATTGAATGACTGCACTTCAGCTGGGACATACTCTTGCTTCAGGTCTTCAGATGAGATAATGTGTGATGTATCTACCCCTATTTTGTCAGCAATCTCCAGGCCTAGGGTTTTCCTCATCATTCTTTCTTGAGCCTCACTTGACTGAGTCGTTTCTGCATACTCAGATCCCTTGGATGCCATTAGGAATCTCTTCTTCTCAAGTACAACTTTGGGGTCAAAAGATTTTAAGCTCATCCACTGGGGCATTGCTGATGCATTGTTGCCTGCACCACCACTGCCAGGAACAGGGATTGGATTCCATTGGGGTACATTGGATCCAATGTGGGATGCTGCTTGTCCACAAGCAACCCGTGTTTCCCAACTATGGTTTCGGCAACACTTGAAGAGTCGAGACAGCAGGAAAGTAAGATCTTGGGGATGGGCTTTCACCACATCCCCCAGTTGCCGTGCAGCAGCTTCCCGTGTTGCAGCACTTCCACCAGACTCCAAAAGAATGAAAAGTCTATCTAAGCGAGTGGCCATTATTAATCACCAACGCATTTCAACTCTGCTCTACAAACACTGCCTTCTTCCAACGTGTTCTTGCATTTTGAAACCAATTGTGGATTGATTTTTCAGCAACATTGAAGTTCTCAGCAAGTTCCTGCCTCTCCTTTTCATCAATATACTTCCTTTCCTCAAAAATCTTATTCAAAGTCAATAGCTGCTCTGGAGTAAACCTGGTCTTAGATTTACCTCCTGAAGTTTGACCCTGCTTAGGTTGGGGCTTCTTAACTTCACTGGAATCTGATTTCCGTTTTCTCACATTATTTGCATCAGCCATCCTCGTAATATGTTTAAACCACCTGCTTGCATTCTGGGATAAAAATAAAACAGGGTAACAATCAATCTGCTGTATATGTCAAATTCCACAGCCCATAAATATATCCTGATAATGACAGCCTTTGTAGCCAAGAGCTCAGGTGGACACATCCAATACTTCTGCTACAAGTCACTGCACTCAGCCATCCAAGCCAGTTGAACCACTAGGTTAGCAGGTCAGGCAAAGTGGTAGCTGAGGAACAAAACTTAAGAGTTCTAAAAATAGGACATTGAATATGAAGCATTCTGGAACCCAACTGGGCCTCAATTACCCTTTGTGCCATGGGAACTATATATAGTCAAACAAGCCCTTGAATTGACTGCATGGCAGTCATGGCACAAAAAGGGTTAAATAGGCATTGGGAGTATATACCATGAAGGGGAATGGCCCTGCCTTTACAGTGACTTTTGATTGCACCCCCACCCCTACATGAGAGATGTAACATGTCATTCAACCCTGTAACATCTACCATCTCAATGTAACTGTTCCTGGATCATTCACTAACTTAAGAGGGAATTAAGTCTTTCCACTTCTGCCAAAGTAAGAGGGGGATGGAATCAATAGAAAAATCACTACATGCCAGCAAAAGCAAGTGATGTGATACCCATTAAGTACCAATAAATCTCTAGCCTTCTAGTCCCCATGGTTGGACCATCAGAGTGATGTGAAATGTTGATGGCAACTTCTGCTTGATTACATTAGTGTCTTTCACTCTTTCGACATCCCATTTTACAATGTTTTGGACTTGAGAATAACAATTTTTCACTTGACTAAGACACTGAGTATGAGGAACATCCCATGCATTAGTCTCAAGGTCAAGTGACAAACTATCCCACTCCAGCAAAAAACACTACATTGTAAAAGAGACAAGCCCATAATTCACTTGATTCCTCATTCCCCATAATTGTTCCCAGTGAAGCCAGGGTAAATGAGGTTATTTGTTTTTTTCTTCTGGGTGATGGACAAGTTTTCTTAGCACAAAAAAAGTAGTAAAGAGATTATGAAACCCTTCACATGAAAGCAGAATTAAAAATTAATAAAAAATTATTCAAACTAAGGAGAAAAATGAGTCAATATATCAACATCTAAAATAACATCTGTGATGCAATAGGATTCCCAAGTGTCTTATTGACAGGCCTGCACCTAAATATATATCTGTATCTTGCCTTGGTTACAGTTGAGTTCTGGCATATGCATATATTAAAAAAGTCCTGGGCTACCTTTGGCTAAGATTAGAAGCCTAACATGGACAACTATACAATTTTGGAAGCGCAGGGTGTCTAGAAATGTAACGTTAAATCTAGGCCAAGGAAGTCAGTCTGAATTCACTAGGAAACGGTTAAGCGCATACCCCTAGAGAAATTGCACTCTCTTCGTCTCCAACGTTTCTCGATGAATTCGACAGGAAACATGCTACATCCATCAGGGTTCTTTTATTTATGGTATACACCAACCTGGCCTAACTTTAGGGGCAACACAATATCAGTATGGGGTGCGCACTTAACCATAACCAATTCCCGTAAGTGCATCCCGAGAACACTAAAAAATTAATGGGCCTACTAAAAAAAAAAAAAGGCCGACGTTAGCCTATAGCGGCATGCGGGCCCGTTGCACCACGAACGATGGAAGATGAAGATACATAGGATGGGCGCCATGACGCGACGCGATGTCCGATATCCGAGTACCGGGCGTGAAGGTCAGAGCGAGAAAACAATACATGGCTCTCGGCCACATCATTATCGTACTTCCACCCTGTTATCATCTTTTTTCCTTTGAGATTCGCCCCCCTTAGCTTCGATGAATTTTTCTACGTGTTCTTCTAATTCATTGTTCACCACCGTCTGAAAAGGAACAGCAGGAGGCAACCATGGGATAAGAGCTGCGTGGTGACAGTGGCCTAGGAAGGACACGTGGATTTTCAAGACAAGGGCCTCCTTTGAGTCTGGCGGGGTGATTGATTTCATTAGGCAAGTGTGATGACGCAATGACCCCAGCAGGCCTTGAATATAAAGCAATCTGTCGAGAAGAAGACTGTGTTCCTCATGAAGCTGTTCTGGAACAGATTGATCTCAGTTTGTAAGTCCCTTAGCAAGAGAGTAGTATCATAACGCTAGGCAATCCCCCCGCACAAATGGCTTTCTCCTATTTCATTGGGAAATTTTATAGTGAAATGGATAAGTCTAACTGTATATTTCTTGATGTAAAAGCCCTGGACACCATGGAATCTGACTTTCCTTTTAAAATGAAGTTGTTATTATAACCACTTCATTGATGTTCAGTCATACATTTTAGACTGAAGCTTCATCTTGAAACTGGTTTGGTTGGTAATGATTGACATGCTGGAAAGACGATGTTTGCCAGAACCTTTCAATGGAGTCTTTTCAATGTCAAATGGAGTCAATGGAGACCCAATGTCATTTCTGATCATGTCACACCTGCATTGTTATACATGAGGGTATGTTTTATTTTTCTTCCTGTCAGGGAAAGAGACGGAAAGGTGGTATTTTCTCGATTTAGCTTTCCCCCTCAGACATGCTCTGTACTTGGGAAACTTCTCAGGAAACCATCCAGTTCTCAAATCAAGCATATCATCATGAATGACTGCATGCTGAAGCCAGAATATGTCATCTACATAGCTGAAGGGTTAAGCTTGAATTCTAGTGTGGAAACATTGGAACTCAAGGGGAATAATATTAGAGGGCTTGCTTGTGAAGCTCTTGGGAGATTCCTGCAAGTCAACTCAAAGATAAGAAGGTTCATCTTGAAAAATTCATCAGCATGGAATGACAGCATGAATGAAAGGGTGTGTTTCCCATTTCCCAGACCGTTTCCTAGCTGATTAGGAAGATTAGTTGATGGGTCAATCAGCCATGGAGTGAACCCAAGTGGGAACTTGTCTAATATTCTTCTCTTTTCAGCTGACTTTTGTCTACCTGTTGGCTAGTTTGCCTATTGGAGGTTCGCTTCCATTGGTCAAAATTTTAGCATGAGAGCTCTCACATTTAATGTGCTTAAGCATCAACATTTCTTCCTATTGAAGACTTACTCTCACTTATTGACTAGTTGATTAGAATCCCAAAAGGTACTTATGTGCCTAGAACTAATCCTGGCTACCAATTTACACCTCCTTCCTGGAGGCTTTTGCCTACTCCCACACACCAACCTCTGACTTGTTATGAAGTTATCTCAGTTGGACTGAGTAGCATCACCAATGGAGGAATGGAGTGAATGTTTCCCAACATAATTCAGTTATCTAAAACTACCCAATCAGGTTGAATCAACCAAACCTGTCAGCAACCATGACGGTCTGGGATGTGGAGCGTGTCAAGAAAGAAACATCTGTCAAATTGAAAAGGATGTCTTTTTCCACCTGCACCATGGATATGACTCTCAGTCCTGCACTTCTACACTGCCTGCATGAAATTCATCCATAATAAACAAAGTGAATGCAAGCACTCAAGGCTCCTGTGCAATTATTGGTATGAATTATTTATTGCTTAATTTGCTACTTATTAAAGGAATCCCTCATGAGAAACTCTGATATTCAATTTAAGGTTGAATCTGGAATGGAATTCCTTGGGATCCTCACCAGGATCCTTTGCAGTGTTTTGTGAAGGAGTAGGAAGGAATGAGTCCTTGAAATACTTGGATATCAGGAACAATCAGATCAAGGTAGATGCTGCAGAAGATCTTGCTTCCTTGATTAGAAGAAATAGCACTTTGCAGTACATTGGTAAGAGCAATTTTGACTTCCTGTTGAAAATCTATTCTTGTCATGTTTGTAGCTGTTAGGTACACTTGTTCTACAGAACCAAAATTGACTCATTGGTTTGATTTATTCTCTTTTCTTTAGATCTGAGGTGGAATGAGATTGGGTTGATTGGGGGGCGAAAAATCTCAGCTGCAATGAAGCAAAATCGACATTTGCAGACACTGTGTTTGACTGGAAATGATATTCCAGAAGAGGTCCTTGCTGCTATTGGTAAGAATGTATTTTCAAAGATATTTAATTGCTTAGAATGAGTTTCAACTGTTTAGACTCAATGGCATCAGACATAATTGAAGTGAAGCATTGGGCAAGGTGGAAGAGTAACTGAGCCAAAAATGTTAAGAGATACAGATTCTCAGCTTGAGTTTTTTTCTGAGGTGGGGTCAGAGGGGAATGAGCTACTTTGAGAGATAATACCACCTCATAGCTTCTCTTTAAAGCAGATTTCATGTTTCACATAGCTGCCATCGCTCAGGGGAACAAAGAGCGGACCATGATGAGAGATCATCAGGAAGCCCAGTTGAGGTCTGCAAAGTTTGCATTGGAAAGTCTGGAGAGAGAGAGAAAAGACCAAGTGAAAAAGCTTTTGCATGCTCTCAAAGGAAGGGAACAGGATCTTAGCAATGTTCAAAGGTGAGTATATGAGATGCTGGCTGTTGATAGCAATTTTCTTCATGTTTTCCTTTTCAAGTTTTTTTTTCATTTAATGCTTGAAAATGTTCTAGTTTCAGCTTGGAATGCAACTTTTATTTCATGAAAGTACACTTTAATAAAATAAATCCTCCACCTTGAATGCATCTATAGAAAAAAAACACATTAAACTTCCTAGATGCCATCAGCCTTTATTGCAATAATGAAACCCTAAAATGTGAATGATGTATGTCTTGCAATTGAAAGTTGTGTGATGATGTGCTGGAGTTGTTGTCACTGTAGATCCAAAGCTGTGCTTGAGAAGGAGATGACTACAGCCCTCAGAGAAAATGAAGAAAGGATGGAGGAACTAAAAAAAATTTTGAGGCAAAAAGAGCAAAAACTGACTGTGTTGCTTCCTGTGGTGGGACAGGTGTCGCACCTTAAGGATGGACTGCAATCCTTGAGGCAAGAGGTCATCACTATTGTTAGCTCATGGCAAAAGGTCTGGTTTTGCTTCATCTTCCACAAAGGCAATATCTATGCATGAATTTTTCTCTCTTCTTTTCTGGACTTCATGTATGGTAATGGGAATGATAATACTAATAGTAGATAAGTTCATGTGGGGGGAGTTACTGAAGAAATGTCAAATTAGAATATGCATAAGTGGAATTAGGAACATTTGAGAGTATAAACTAAGAGATGAGGTTTGAGGGAGTTGCATTGAGAGAGTTTTATTTTGGGTGTACTGAGATATTACTGAATATGTGTACCTTTATTTTTTGTGGTCCTGTCTGATGATATGCAGAAGTGCATTTCTTCTCTACAAATGCAATAATACATCAGGTCAAAAAGAAGTGTGGTCTAGAAGCATTTGGTAGAATGACATCCATCTGTCCTTCATTGGCCCATTGACACTTCTGCCAAAAGATGTCATGTTATAAAGCAAATTAAAGAAGATGAAAGAGCTTTCCAAATAAATGGAATTTACTTAAAATTACAGCATATGATTCTGAGCAATGAAAGGGAAAGGAAAAGGCAGCATCCAATCAAGAAGCTCTGGGAAGTTCCTTTTTTTTATGCTGTATTTGTTATTTATGAACATATATATTTGTAGGAAGTGCAATAGAGACCAAAGCATGAGAGGTGAGGAAGGGTGCCAATACTAAAGAGATATCTAGGGGTATCCTAGAAAAAAATTTTCATCTGCTGATCTTATTCTATCATGGCTGCCATATTGCACTAGAAAGGAAGGAATGTATCTACACCTTGCTAACTTCCATTCCATGTGGCTCTGGATAAATATGATAGTATTCCTGAAGATGTCATGCTAGGTCTAATGTCAGCCTAGCTGATAGGTAAACTATAGGTCAACCATATTGTAGCCTGATTATGATAAGTCATAATGCACAACTTTTACAGAATAGGAGGGGGATTATTCTACTGCATGTGCATGCCACATTGACTTGCTGTTTGTGAAGGGAACCATTGAAGAGGATCAGCTTGATATCTGCTGTGCCATATTAAACCCTGATAATGAAAGCCATATTAGGAAAGTGTCTCTCATGCTATGTTTGTTTGTATTTTGTATGGATGACAAACCTGTTCATATAGTCAAATGTATGTGTTTCAAGTATATAAATAAACCAGGTATATAAATGTCTGGTATATACACTCCCTCAGGACTCAGAGGATATGAGACGAAGATTTGGGGATGATCTCTTATCTCAAACTCAGAGCTGCATTGATCTGAGGAAAGCCCTCAGTGTCATGGAGGCTGAGAATCAGCGACTTAAGTACGACCTTTCCATGTCTCAGAATGAAACTGCTGCTATATTGGAAGAAAAAGAAGACCAGAGAAGAGGACTTGAAGGTGGGGCAATTCAGCTTGAATAGGTTTGTAATGAGAGTATTGTACACATTGAAAGGAGAATGAAATAAGTATCTTTTTGGGCATTTAGAAGCCTTAGAAGCACAGAGGAAGAGATGGCAAGAGCAGCTGCAAACAAAGGAGGCCAAGTTCTCAAGTGAGAAAGAAGTCATTCTTGCTGACTATCAAAAAGTTGTAGAGGACTTGCAAGCAACAGTGGATACTGCCAAAGAAGAAAGAAAAAAATTGGCTGATGAGAATCATACACTGCAAGCAGATCTCCAAAGGAAGGATGGAGAGCACAAGAAACAGATCGTGAAGCTACAGGAAGAGTATCAGGCCAGGCAGGTCTGTCAGTTCCTCCTTTTGGGGGTTCCAGTGAAGAATTGTGGGATGTTTAGAACTGCCTCTTTCAAACAATCTCATTGTTTCAACTTTCCCAGGCCGAGAGAGAACAGTTGTGGCAAGAGAAATGCTCAGGGTTGGAAATTCGGCTTGAGAAATCTGAAGCATATGTTAGACATCTTTTGAAAGAGGTCTCTGAAGCTCAAAATCAAGCCCTTTCATCTCAGCTGAAGATGGAAGAGACAATCAGGGTTCAGGATTCAGTAAAGAAGGTGAGATGGTGGGTAAAAAAAAATGCAGTACTTGAACCTGAGAAATTCTATGCATAAATAATGCTTTGGTCTTTCTGATCAGGAAATGGAAAAAGTACAGAGAGGAGTTGAAGCAGCAGTTGAACGAGCAGTGGGGGAATTCTCAGATGAAGTTAAAGCATTGACATCTGAACTACAGAAGAAAGGGAAAGAGCTTGAAAATGAAAGCAACAAGGTGAAATCCCTGCAGAGAGATTTAGAAGCGAGGAAAGGGGAAATTGAAAGACTCCAGGGAACCATACTAGATAAGGTGGATGAAATCTCACATCTCAAGTGAGTTTGGATTTCACTATAAAAGGATTTCTTGTAATAAAAAGATTTTGTGGGTACACTTGGACTCATTTCTTTTACAGAAATGAAGAGAAGGAGAGACAGCTAGCCCTGAAGTCAGCCCTTATGCCTTTCCTCACCAAAGATTCCTAGAAGATGGTGTCATTTTTTTCCATTTAGACTCTGTTCAAAACAATGTCTTATACCTTTCCGCCTATTTTATCATCTCAAATAAATCCAATCAAGTTGAACTGTGTGTTGCTTTTGGTATAGCTGGTTTGCAGAATTTCACCAAACCATGGTGGATCATCACTGATTTGATTGATCCCAGTCTCTAACCCTGAGATTGATTTCCACTGCTCTGATAGAATCAGGGACTTATTGAAACTAGACTACTTTAACAGGATATTTCAACTCAATCATCACATTCTTTTCTTTCTTTCCTCTAAGGATTGTGGAGAAAACATGTTGATGTGATCATGTTTTCAGAACTCACACCCATTCTTAGTCTGGACCGGCTGCAGGGACTGCCTGAAACTCTGGTTGTTGTCACAGAAGAGCCCCATGCTAATGGAGGATTCCTGTTGTTTCATTTTATGGGCCATGGATTCCATCAAGGACTCAAGGTCTGCCTGCTGTCATGCAGAGAAATGTTGTCTCACTTCCATTTGGTTGGATGCAAACTTGGATTCAACCTTCAGTCCAAGCAAGATCAGGGTTCCTTCATCTTTATAAATGTTCTGGAAATGATTCAGCAGTCTTCCATTGGGGAATCAGATCTCTTAAAGCTCCATGGGGAGAAATCTTCATTGACTGCTTTGATGCATCATATTGAGAAGTTACTTCTGCCTTGGAAGGAAAGTGATCAACCTATTCTCATCATTTTGGATGGAATCCATGTCTTTTTGGATCTGGGTGCAGAGGTCAAAGAAATTCTGGGACTGATTTCATTTCTTCAGAGCATGTCATCCTTGATGCTAGTGACACTTACTGACTGGCAGGATGACATCAATTCATTACCTCATCTCCTCAGGCATCGAGCTGATATGGATGTGTGTGTGCATACATTGCTGACAGGCTTCAGTAAAGATGTCTCTGGTGAACTCATTCTTCGCCAAGGTAACAGTGAGTCTCAACGACTGCATTTCAAGTTGAGTGATCGCAATGTGAAGGTTTTCAGTCCTGGTTTGGCTCCAGGACTTTTGTGATTGTTCCATCTTCCTGAAATAAAGCCCTTTTCAAATGTGAAGTGTTCAAATCCAGGCTGCCTATAAGTGGATCTTCTGACAAGGAACATTCACTGGATGCAGAGATCCAGAAAAAAGGAGGCATAACTCCACAATCCTAAGCTGAGTTTAAAGAGAGAAAAGACTCTGATTCTGGCAATGACATTGTAAGGAAGGCACTATATGGTTGGAAGCAGTTGGCTTGCAAGATTTTCCTGGTTTGCTGCTGTGGTGACCATTACAAGAGAAAACTTGTACACACTCCAATTATGCATCAATAGGAACAGTACCATGCTGAAGTACATGGTGTGGTACTGGTTCTTTCAGGTAGCATGAGCCATGTTTGTGGGACATTAAAGAGGATTCCAAAAATTTGACCATGTCATGGCTTCCTCAATTTGTTTGGAGAGTATAATGATGGCACCTCTCAAGCTGTTTGAGTCATAACTCTAATGTAGGAGGCTACTTTCACTAGTTATGCTTCCTTCTTTGTATCAGGCTTTTTACTTCTGGAAAGAAGTGGCAAATCACATTCGTTGATCGTCAAGTTTCAAATAAGTTGACTAAAGGATGAAAGAGTGAAATTATCTGCTCCATAAGGTCACTCAGAACTTGCTTTTAAGTAGGGCTGTCATTCGATTAAAAAACGTAATCGATCCCATAATTCCTCCTTGAATCGTGTCCTAGGTGTTGGGAATGATTCTTTATGTATCATGCCCAACACCTAGGCGAGCTTCAGTCGCTAACATAGCAGTTACTATCCATACATACACTATACACCCCGCGGAGGTGGTTCATCCGGCTCGCCGTCTGTTTTTGACATTTTCCTCTTGGATTGAGTGTCAGCACAAATTTCAGTGAAATGAGTGCAGCCCGGCGACCGGCTTGAGTTTGACACCCCTGCACTAGTTCATCCTACAAGTGACACATACCAGTCGGAAAGAAAATTGTTACAACTAAGCCAGGTAAATTTGCCATTTAGCCAACTCAACGGAAGGATGCAAAAATGTAACCTAAATGATTGGACGTATACTGTGACACTATTACGCAGAGATTTAAAGATTCATTAACGATTTATGGGCAGCACAGGATGGAAGAGATAAAATAGGAGCTAACAAGGAATAGGAGAGAGTTTCCACTTCTCTCGCCTGCCCCCGGCTTTCCCCCTCTACTTTCCGGGGATTCCCACAAACGTTCACTGGTGCACGTACACGTACGCCTCTTACTCCCCAGTCTATATTATCCTCTTTTCTGCCTCGCCTGTCCCATGCCCCTGCCAAACTCCCCTCTTCCTTCTGTGCCTTCCCTTGTAGCTTCTTCATTAAGACTTTCGTTTCCCCTTTCACATTAGGCTATGCCGTTAATAGGCTATCATGAAGGAAAATGAGCCTTTTTTAGGGTTGTAGATGGGGGCGGGGGGGGGGGGCAAGGGGTCACAA